CATATTATACATATTTCTATTGCTATTTAAATGATGTGCACCTTTATCTATCCATGAAGCTAAAAGACACAGCAGTTAGTTCCACAGTGCCTGTTTTACCTCGTCTTCCTCCTCCTCCTCCTCAACAGCAAAAAGCCGCCCCTCTCCCTGAGCCTGGAGAGTTCTTCCTGTTAAAAGGGAGTTTTTTCTTCCCACTGTCAGCAGTGGTTGTTCATAGGGAGTCATATGATTGTTGTGGTTTATTATCTATTACTGTAAAGTAATTTACCTTATAATATAAAGTGCCTTGATGTGGCTTGTGATTTGATGCTATATAAAGTAGGGCTGGGCCATATTATACCGTTCACGGTAATACCGGTATAATGTTAGGCAACGATAGGAAAATGAAATATCGCGATAGAATATGAGTAAAACGCGCATGCGCAGTGCCTTTGTTTTCATACGCACATGGCCGATTGTTGAGTGAAACAGATGAACCAGGTAAAAATGGTGACTTCTGATTAACGTTGGTTGTCAGATACACGACAAAGCACATTTTTTTGCAGAACATGCAAGCGGCCGTCGGACTAAGATGCCCTTAAATCTGGGAGTAATCTGGGTCCTAAATGCTTCAGGTCAAACGAACACTGCAGCATCTCTTTCATCTGATCACATGTTCACCAGCTGTAACTATAATAAAGCAGCACATGAAACGAGTTAGAGTTAGCAGGAAGCTAGCGGAAGTTAGCTCGCTAGTTTCGCTAGTTACCTAAGCATGATATAGCATGTTCTGACTGAGAGATTTCTAAAAAAATCAAACGTACAGCTCTGCTATCACTTCCAACATAAATGAAGACAGGAAACTAAACAGCAGTGACGTTTGTAGGGTTACTGAAGTTGGGCTAGCTGGTATATAATGATGTGCTACGTGATCGCTAGCGACACAGCTATGTTAGCATAACATAAACAGTGAAGCTGGACGAACACTAACACTTTTCCACTTATAAAAGTTAACGTTAAGGTTCCTCGTGGTTGGCCAAAAATCGTGGATGATGTGTCTTCAGTCAGGAGAACAACTGAGATAATCCATCCACAATACGAGGTTAGTCATTAATATACTGCAACAACATGGGAATAGAGCAGCTGCCAGAGAATTCAACATTAATGAATCAATGGTACAGAAGTGGAGGAAGCAAGAAGAATGAGTTTAATAAAGTTTGATTTATCTGACTGCTTTGTTTCGCTTAATGTGCCTTATAATCCCGTGCACCTTATGGTCCGAAAAATACGTACTGCACACTGCAGTTTAATGTTGCAAAGCACCTCTTTTTAACTTCAGTGGATATTATACATGGTTATGCTCAGGATATGTCAGCCCATTTCTACTGGAAATGCCTTTTGGTTAAACTTTCAGCAAGGAATTTGCATTTGCACTGTTACATTTTTATAAAGCTTTAATGTACATAAAAACCAGCTTCTTGTTTAAGTGAAAATAAATGATAGGTTGTCTTTTTGCGCTAGTAATGTTGTGGAGTTGTATTTTGTCTCGCATCAATTATATCGTCAGTTATATCGTTATCGCAAATTTTCAAATATATATCGTGATAAATATTTTTGGCCATATCGCCCTGCTCTAATATAAATAAAACTTAATTAAAACCAAACTGAATTGAAATGTCATAACTACATCCATGAAAGTAATTTATAATGTGACAAAACTGCAGTCATGTCATATATAGGTTGGTGATAAATGTCCTACTAGATAACTGACATGCTGCAGATTTGATCACTGTGACAGTTCACATGAAATGTACGTGTGAATCAGTTTATACAACTGTCTGCATTTAATCAGTAGTTATTATTAATCTCTGGCTCTCTTCCACAGCATGTCTTTGTTCTGTCTCATCCACTCAGCCCCTATGTGAGCCCGATTTTAGTGCAGGTTTCTTCCTGCTTGCTCATAGAGGGGTCATATGATTGCTGGGCTTTCCTCTATTTTCTGTATTATTGTAGGGTCTTTACCTTACAATATAAAGTCAAATCACAACTGTTGTTGTGATTTGTCACCATTTGAATAAAACTGAATGAAATTGAAGTAAACACTCAGTCTTACAGGAACTCCTTTTAAACCCCTGCAGATGAAGCGTCTGGGAATAAGAAACAACTACAAGCATTCTAAGATAAATGGATGAGAGCAAGTTGGTACAAATACAGAGAGGCTGAGAAAAGAGGATGCATTAAAAAAGAAGCAAAACTAACACGTGTGTCGTTTCTGACCTGTGGTAAATGGTGTCGATCATTTCACACCACGCTCTGGCCCTGTCCACTGCACAGCCATCAGAGTCTGTACACTGTGCAGTGAGAGAGACATATTTATAATGAGCAAGACAAACATGCTTTAACAAATGTTTTTGTTATTAGAACACCAATACATGCAAAAATGTCAAATGGAATAAACACAAATAACAGATTAAATAAAAATAAGTAATCAGGGCACATTACAGCAATGGCCAGAGTTAACCACTCACAGACATAAACTGAAAAATGATGCACTCACACAGTCCACCAGCATTTTGCCCAGCTCTTTTGCTCCTACAAAGGACTTGGCCAGCTCCAGTGGGTTGGAGGGTCGGAACACATCCACAGAGCTCACCACCACCTGAGGAGGTTTACCTGGAGACACACAGGAGCACGCGTACAAAATGATAAAGGGGAGGGGGACTTCAAATAGAGACACTGAACTCCAGCTAGTTATTCACAATGTGATAGGTATGTATTCCTGTGTAGCTCTGATACAACTGATATATACACCCACTGGCCACTTAATTAAGTACACCTGTTCAACTGCATGTTAACACAAATATCTAAATCAGTCAATCACATGGCAGCGATTCAGTGCATTTAGACATGATCAAGATGAACTGCTGAAAATCAAACTGAGCATCAGAATGAGGAACAAACTTTATTTGAGCGACACAGATGTTGGTGCCAGACAGGCTGCTCTGAATATTTCAGAAGCTGTTGATCTGCTGGGATTTCCCCACAAAACCGTCTCTAAGGTTTACAAGAGAATGGTCAACTTAGTATCAACTAAGGTAATTAAGAGCATTTCTAAACATAAAACATGTCAAACGCATGGGCTAAAGCAGCAGAAGACCACACCAGGTGTCCTTCTATCAGTTAAGAACAGCAAACTGAGGCTACAAGTCACCAAAAATTGACAACAGAAGATTAGAAAAACAGTACCTGGTCTGATAAGTTTCAAATTCTGCAGCAACATTTAGAGTGTTGGGTCAAAATGTGGCATAAAAAACACAAACGTCTGCACTGCTACTGGTCGTGCAATGGTTTCAAGGACACTTTCCCGGCACTCTTGGGCCCCTTAGTGCTAAATGACATCATTTAAACACCACAGTTACCCGACTATTGTTGCTGAGCGTGTCTATATTGTATGTCTATGTGGTTCTTTATCACCCCACTGTACCAATCTTTTGAAGGCTGTATCCAGCAGGATAATCTGCCATGTCTGGTTCCTTGAACATGACATCATTTATGTGCATCCAACCAATCTGCAGCAACTCTGTGAAATCACGTCAATATGGACCCAAATCTCTGAGGAATCCTTTCATCACCTTGTTGAATTTGTGCCACACAGAATTAGGGCAGGTCTAAAAGCAAAACAGAGTCCAACCCAGTACTAGCGATATGTACCTAATAAAGTGGCCAGTGTGTGTATATATCAGTTTACTTTGCATTTAATGAATATTAAAGACACAGAAGAAGAGATATGACTCACATAATTTAACATTTTGACACACAATTACTTGGCTCACCTGTTCCAAGAGAGACCACTATACCCAGCTTCTTTAAGTCCTTCTCGCGGCCCTAAGAGACACACGTGCAGAGAAGAAGTCACGAACAAATCCATGTGGCTTAACGTCCATTAAGTGCATAAAGGAAGGAAAGTGAATAGAGCTCCGGTTGCCTACCTCTGCTTTTAAGGCCTTATTGTACTGATGGACTTCTGTCATGGCATCTAGTGTCGGGTTATTGGCCAGCAGCCCTCCATCCAGAAAGCGCCCCATTGGTCGGAAGTAGGTGGGAGCAGCGCCGCTGGAGCGAGCAGCTCGCCATACAAGTTGTTCTGATATGAACACAAGGATATAAGTAAGAAAGTCATGCATAGTAAATGCAATTACACTGTTCTGAGTTCATAATTATCACTTCCTGTCTGTCTTTTTCACGACTTTCCAGGACTTGGTCCTGTACGCATACACACACCTTCATCTGTCACCTTCCTTATCTTTCTGGGTGGCTCTTCTGTGTATCCTACTATCAACACATCTTCATCCTCCCAGCCTGTAACAACAACACGGCTGGGACTCAAACAGCACAGGACACGACTCCTTCATGAACAGCACACAGTCTCAGTTTCAGTGTTGTGCTCACACACAGGCTTAGTTTTCAGCTTTTATTGCCTCAGTGAAGTGAAAGAACATAACCCTCACATTAAAATATGAGCTCTGAAAATTCCTTTGGTGCCATCCAGTGGTATGTTCAGAGCACTTCACTATCCCATTTAATACATTTGACATTTGAGGGCTGGTGCTGTAGCCGACAAACACAGGTGATATCTGACGTGCCTTGTGGGATGGTGAGAGGCTTGAATGTGGCAGTGGTGGTGTATGGGGCCTCTCTGGAGACGGATGGAGGGTCATAGTTCCTGAATATATGAAGCTCGCCTGGATGTCTGTCTGCCAGAACACTGGTCACCATTACCCTGTAAAGAAAGAAAGAAGTGAAAGGATGTTTGCCTGTTCTCCTTAAACACCTGAAAATTTGAACAGCAGCATTTCAACCAAATTACAAAAATATTTTTAAAACCAATCTGGCTTCAGATGTATTATTTTAGTGTTAAGAGAGCCATGCTACACATATCTAAGCAAGTCAGTACCTTTTTTTAATTCTCAGGAACTGAACCTCGGAAAAAAATTAGGTGACTCAATTTAACACATCAGGGTAAAACCAGCTCAAAGTTTTAAAAACTGACCAATCACAGCAAAAGAGTGGGATATTTAAAGCTTTTATATGACACTGTTAGCACCAGCAGAAACTGGGGCGACTAAATTCTTAGTCGAGTAAATAAGGAAAAATCTTTGGCTAATTGATTAGTATAAAACCTAAGAAACACTGAGGTCTGAACAATGACAGACTTAAAAGAAGATCCAGGCTGCATTAACAAATTTCTGGTGCTTTTCTATAGCAATGGAAAAGCTGCAGCGCCATCTTGTGGCAGAGGGCTGCATAACATTTAGAACGCAACAATTTGTCATTCTCTCTGTAAGCGTGACAGGTCGAAAAGTTATGAATGAATTATAATAAAACTTTGTAGGAGTGTAGAGTGGGTTCATGTTAATCACATTTGACCTCTGACCTCGCCTTCAATGTAAAACTCAAGGTTAAAGTGATAATAATTCTATTTAGAGCTATTTATAACTGTTTATTACCGCCATTGTCAGTATTGACAACATATAAATATATAGGGAATGGTATATGGGGATTGTAAATATCATGTTACTGTTGATCTCTGACGTCTTCTTCGAGGTCAGATAAGTTCAAACTTTCATAAAATGTCAATTTTCTTAAAATGGTGTTTAAAATTCTGCTGCCTTCGTTTGTATTGGCATTACTTAGGAAATGATTCTGCTATATGGGGATTCTAAATGTCACACTATAGTTACCATTTAAATATCATGTCACATTTGACCTCTGACCTCACTTTTACGTATCACATCTGCCTTTGTTTCACTTTGTTTCACACGATGATGAATGAGCTGCTAGTTGGTTAGAAATAGTTCCCAGTTTATTCAACTAAGATCATTCCGCTCTCGTCTATTCCCCGTCACCTCTGGTGTACCCCAAGGCTCAGTTTTAGGCCCTCTTCTCTTTATAATATACATCCTCCCTCTAGGTACCATCTTCCGCAAATTTGATCTTCAGTTTCACTGTTTTGCTGATGACACCCAGTTATATCTCTCTTGCAAACCTGATTCCTCCCTCCCACCTTCTTCCCTTACAGAATGTCTATCCGAGTTAAAATCCTGGTTTACCTCTAATTTTCTAAAGCTCAATGAGGATAAAACTGAGATCCTCCTTATTGGCACCAAATCCAACCTTTTGAAGGCAAACCATTTCTCACTCACCATCGATAACTCCACAGTTCTCCCTTCTCCTCAGGTTAAGAGCCTTGGTGTCATCCTAGACAGTCACTTTCTATAAATCCACATCAATAACTCACCCGTTCTGCCTACTTCCATCTACGTAACATTAACAGATTGCTTCCTTCTCTTTCCACCCAGTCTACGTCCATTCTTGTACATAGTCTTGTTACCTCCCGTATTGACTACTGCAATTCTCTTCTGCATGGTCTCCCCCAAAAATCCCTCCATAAGCTTCAACTGGTTCAGAACTCTGCTGCTCGCATTATCACCAGAACCCCCTCCTACCAGCACATCACCCCTGTTCTTCAGGAACTTCACTGGCTCCCTGTGAAATTCCGGATAATTTTCAAACTTCTTCTGCTCACCTTCAAGGCCCTTCATAACCTCGCTCCTTCTTACCTTTCTGACCTGTTAACCACCACTTGTTCTGCCCGTTCACTTCGTTCTTCTTCTTCTGTCCAGCTTACTGTACCTTCCTTCCGCCTCACCACCATGGGAAGCAGAGCTTTCAGCTGCTCTGCTCCCAGGCTGTGGAACTCTCTGCCCCCTGAAATAAGAAATATTGGTTCTCTCCCCCAGTTTAAATCCCAACTCAAAACTCATCTGTTCAAATCTGCATATTCACTGTGAATCCACTGTTTGTTCATTTTATCTTGTGCTTTATTTTATTGTTCTTATTCTGCCATTGTTTTACTAAGTGTTTTATCCTATTGTAAAGTGTCCTTGGGTGACTTGAAAGGCGCTCAAAATATTTATATATATTATATAATATTATTATTATTATTATTATTATTATATAATAAGCTCAAGTTATTTCAGTTATTTACAAATCAATACCTATTATCTATTGCCTGCTTGTACACAATGTTTTAATAGAAGATACATTACTCTTTGCTTAAAAGTAAATGCTGCCCAAATGACGAGCAGCTTGGGCAGAGGTCTGCAATTCTTTTGAATTTTAGCTTTTTCTTGGCATTTTTCTGCCTATTATCACATTCAGATATCTACCTGGGGAACTTTATGTCAGTCATCTTGGTGTTTTCTCCAAACTCTGTTTTGAGGAAGTCCTCTAGCGGTGCTGATTCATAGGGTCTTGATCCTTTGAACACCTGCTCCTTCATCCTAAAGTACAGGCAGCGCAGGTACTCCATGGATTTACCTACACATAGAAGAAGTGTCATTGTTGTTCTGGTGCTATGTGATGAAAACTCAGCACTGGAAAAGAGAACACAAACACACCGTGGATTATAGCCAGAGCCAGGATGCCTCCCGTGCTCGTGCCAGCTACCCAGTCGAAGAGCTCTCTGGTGGGTCTGCCCGCCTCCTTCTCCAGAGCGATCAGCATCTGGATCAGCACCAGGCCTTTAATACCGCCACCATCAAGACACAGCAGACTGTCCATCCTGTCGGATGGCCAAGACCAATATGATGAATTTTATCCAGCCAATCACTTGCATATCCAACTTTTTAGATCCTCTGGAACAGAGCAGAATCCTCGAAACAGAGTTTACTGAAAAGAGTCATGTGACCAGCAAAACCAAACATCACAACACACAGAACAGCAAAATACAGCAAAGCAAAGTAAACCTGGAGAGAAAGGCCTTAAACGCATGCAGGTCAAAGCCCACAAATGGTAAAGAAATCAAGGAGGGCAGAGGCTTCAATGCATACTGAACAATGGCATTACTACACTGTGAAACCTATTATTGTGCAGCACAGAACAGCAGAAGTGCTTTGACCCTGGATTCTTTCTAAAAGTGAGCTGTGGGTGTATCAGTTATACACTTTACAATAATATGAATTATTAATATTACATTTGTATTAAAGTGGTTTTAGAAACACTTTCATGGTGAGTTTATGGCCACAGTCACATTGTCAGTGTGCATGTGTATCTCAATCTGAACACAATATGATTATTTTATAAATGATGGTCCCACTTAGAGTTAAATAGACAGTATAGATAAAGCAGAGTATGATTTAGGATGAAGTATGAGGAATATCACATCCACCTGTTACCGTCACATCCACTTTGAAAAAAAGACACATAGTTACTGTGCTGTAGGTAAATATGTGTCTTTGTTACAGCACAGTAACTATACAGAACTATGATAACTGTAGGTAAAGTCACAACGGCCATGTCTGTCTTATATATTCAGTGTTTGCCTACAACCTTCTGTGTGTGCTTTGATTATGGGTAAGTAGTGGCAATAAAGGCGCGTGATGTGTAGTGTGCAATCAGAAATTTTTATACTCACTTTCTCGTTTCCATTTGGGGGCCGTCTATTTCAGATATGCCTCTGCTCATTGCACCCACTGCAGCCCCCACATACAAGATGTCCTCAAATCCTAAAAGCCAATCACAACAGCTGTTGGTACAGGAGCATCACATTTGTGCATAAACTAAACTAAACTAGGAAAAAACGGGGTCACCAGGATTTTGTGGAGGAAGCATTTACTGGTGGTGTCACTACTGTAAAAACCATCACCATACACACTCTGCCACAGTCTGCTGCTTTTGGGAAGTGTTGAGGAGCTCATCACACCATGCAGCTCACCTTTTACAGAAAATTTAAATTGTGCTGGGTCCTAATTTTTTCACAGCTCATTACCTGCCTTTTAAAAAGATTTAAGAGTAGTCTTTGAAGACTGTTTTTGTATCATTTAACCCCTTAACTGATCCCCTATCATATTATATACATGTGGTTTTTATGAGTTTTTGAGATTTCTACATTACAGTCATTTTTATTCTCCCCAAAGAACCTCTAAAAGAATTGTGCATTACATTTTTAAGGATAAAATTGCAAATAACGCACAATGTAACAAATATGATACAATTAAAAATCAACTATCAACTATATATATTTATATATTTTTTTAATTTGTGAGAAGGCTCAATAAACACTCCATTAAAAAAATTTCTGGCAATTATTTTATGGTTCAGGCTTAAAGGGTTAAATGTTATTTTAACTTAAATATGAAGGAACACTTGAATCCAGCTCTTACATTACGTTTATACTAAATTTGATCATTAAATATATAATACAGAAAGAATGATCTATAGCTAAGAAAAGTAAGGGTAAAAAACTGACTGACAACACAAACTCGAATATTTGAAGTGACAGAAAAATGGAAATGGAGAAGCATGAGGGAGGAGCAGGGGTGAGGGGGTGGTGGTGTTACCTATGCCTTGAGGCTTGACCTTCTTGGAGATGGGAGGAGGAGGAGGACTGCCGGGGGAGGGAGGGAGGCAACGCTGTACTCCTACACTACACAGCAAGTCCAGCAGTATCTTTCTATTAGGACCTTTCATGTTCCAAACACACACAAACACACACACAGAGCAGCAGCCAACAAGTTAGACGTGCACACACGCCACAAAGAGGAGAGACGGAGAGAGATGAAAGGAAGAGAGAGAGCAAGAACATAAGCAAGCTGTTAGCAATTATCATGCATTTTCATAATCAGTAAGTCAATACAAACTTAGTTTACTCCCATTTCTTCTTTGTGAATGGTTTCCTGCACTGTCTATGTATTTGAAAGCAAACATCCATTAGCTGGCTCAATTTAGCCGTAACATGCTCTGAGCTTTTCTAAGAAATCAAAGTGAAATTTTAAATCTTTGTCTTTGTCTCCAGCTTTCTGCCAAAAAAGAAAGTGATCAGAAAAATAACAGTAAACAGCTGCATATATCAACAGAAAGAAATTAGAAACTGTTTTTATTTCCTGTGGGATGACTAAGGCTAAGTTCACACTGCAGGCGAAACCGCATCAAATCTGACTTTTTTGACCCTGTGTGACCCATATCCGATCATGGTGTGACAGTGTGAACGGCACAAATCCGATATTTTCAAATCCGATCTGGGTCACTTTCGTATGTGGTACTGAATCCGATACATATCTGATGTTTTAGAAAGCGACTGCTGTTTGAACGGTCATGTCGCATTAAATCCGTCTTTTACGTCACTGACACAAGACAGACGCCAATTATCAGCGCCGGAGAAGACATCGCGAACGCTTCCTGGCCATCCAGTGTAGATGTCAGTGAAACTGTTGGGAAGACAACGTTGGAGAAACGTGAACATTTTATTTGTACTGTATAATCTGCAGATTATCTGCAACTATCCTTTGAAGCACCGCTCCTCTCTAAAACAGCAATAAGGATAATTATTAGGCCATATGTAAATAAAAAAATAACTTTATAACTTAAAGCAAAATTGGAAAACGTAAAGTCCGAAACAAGTCTTTATATTAAAGGCCATCAGTCAAACAATACTGTTTGGTCTAAACAGAGCGCGTTGTGTGTGACGTCTTCTTTTGCGCATGCGGGCCGCAAAAGAAACTAGAGCGCGTTTGCTGTCGCATTTTATTTGTAGTGTGAACAAGCAGACAAAAAAATCGGATTTGATCAAAAAATCGGAATTGAGCATTAAGACCTGCAGTGTGAACGTAGCCTTAGAGTTAGTGAGTTTATTTGTATGCTCTTTTCCATTTTCTGCTTCTGTGGACCAAAATCTAACCTAATCTAATCGGATATTTCACTTAAAGGCAGTGAAGCCAAGATGCTGCAATACTGCATACTCCAAAAAAAAAGCATGATCACAAAGTTTAACTCACTATAAGCAATAACTACGGTAATATTTTTTCATTGCTTCATAGTGATAAAGCAATATATCTGTAACAGGAAGTGTTATCATATCATATAATATTAATACATAATGGGATAAAGTGGCAGATAATAAAACCCTTAATTACAGCTCCAACACAACAGGCAGACTAATATCATCCACAGTGGACACATGCTTTCAAATCAGACTACATGAGATCAAACAGGGTTGTTAGGTCAGGCACATTAACTCCTAATTTCACTGTTAACACCACCAGTCCAAGCTCAGACTTCTATGTTCTTTATATGTTTAAATGTTTCGCTTTTAACCCCCCATCTCACTCTCTCTCTCTCATTACCTTTGCTGGTGCGTGCAGCGATGAGTCCAGGTGTCTCGCCCAAATCATTGTGAATCTCCACATCTGCACCAAACACTATTAGAGCTTTGATCAACTCTATGTGGTCCATCTGAGCAGTCACAACAAATGAGAAGAGGGTTTTTTTTAAGGATATGGAACAAAGGATAAAACAAAAAAATACAACCTCAATTCCAAACAAATTGGGATGCTGGGTAAGAAGTAAATAAAAACAGAATTTCTGAGTTTCTCAGAGGTGAAGATGGCCAGAAGTTCCCTAATATGGAAAAAATGTGTTTATAGAGGAAATCACTGATTGGGCTCAAGAAGACTTCCAGAAGTTTTTGTTGAAACTATTACATCTGGAAAGGTTCCACGAATGCTGGAAGGTGCTAGCAGGTTTTAGAGCAACATACGCTTCCCTTCAACAAGGCAATACTAAACCCCATACTGCAATTATTACAACAGCATGACTTTGTAGGAGAAGAGTCCGCTGAGCTGGCCTGCCTGCAGTCTGCAGGACTGTTGAGCAGCTAGAATCCTAAATCAGACGTCCAGCAACTGGTCTCCTGAGTTTTACGTACTGCTGTCAAAACAAGAGGGGCTGCTACTCAGTGATGTCGCAACAGTTTTTAAGATGTGTTGCTGCCATTAAATTCAAAATAAGCAAATGTTTTTCTCAAGCTGGCACATTTTCACAGTTTAAACATTTAAAACAAAATTTGTCTCACTGTTCTATTTTGAGTAAAATATGATTATCAGATTTGCGAATCATTACATTTTGTAGTTAGTTACATTTCACACAGCATTGAGGGTTTTTTCAGTTGTATTTGAACAATCAGTACTTGTTGCAATAGCTTAGCTGGGTTTGTACCCCCATTGTGAAAAACCTCAGTTATGCAGCTCACATTAAAATAATACATATTTTTAAAAATGGAAACACTGTGGCAATTCAGACAGCATTTCTCTAACCATACATTTATGCAGTGCTTTATGCTATACGCACTATTAACCTCACATGGCCAATTTACAATCACCAACTAAGCTACAATGCACATCTTTGGTTTGTGGGAGGAAAGCACAGGGAGAATATGTAAGCTCCAGATACAAAGCACCAGCCTGCCAGGACATTTGAACCAGGAATCGTCTTGCTGTGAGGCGGCAGTGCTAACCATGTGCCCACAAACAAACATTTGATGTTGAATAAGAACTCGTCAAAACAGACTGGAAAGAGATTTTGCAGTGTGAACACGCTGGCTGTAACACAGAGCATGACCTCAGTTTTCTTTATGAGTGTTGCAATCTGATTTCAAAGGTGCTGCGTTCTACAACTCCCGTAATCTCACAATGTCTTGCAAAGTAACCTTTCTCTTTTCTCCTCATGAACATTTTGCAGATCGTATACACACCTTCATGGCTAAGTGCAGAGCTGTGTTTCCATCCTGGCCCCTCAGGTTGGCATTCGCTCCGTGGGTGAGCAACACCATAGCCGCCTCAAAGCGACCCTTCTTGGTCAAAATGTGCAGAGCGCTCTCTCCGGTCTTACTGAGGTAGTTCACTTCACAGCCACACTCTAACAGCATGCGACACATCTATCACCCAGACATGAAGACAGAAAGAAACATGAAGTCAAGTCTCTAGCTCCGTGTTAATCCCTCGCAGATGTGCTGATTTGAGAGACCAGAGGACGCACAGCCATCACTGGCAGGCGGCTAGATTTACTCAGGATTAAACTCAGTGTGAATTTCTCAGGATGTTTGCAAGAGTAATGCCAAACTAAACAAACCATTATGAATTTTTACACAGCACACGACGTAGTGTTTCTAACCTCAGCAGTTTTAGCCCAGTGGAGAGGCGTCCCTCCATACAAAGAGTCCTCTGCCTGGAGCTGGTTTGGATCTGCTTTGAGGATCTCCTCCACACAACTAACAGATGAACACGAAATTAAAACAAGAATATTAAATATGTACTACATTCTTTATTATAGTGTAGAGAAGTCACACATTACAGACAGACAGACAGACAACTTCTAGAGAACCGGTAAAAAAGGAGAACCAGAGAAGCTGTTCCCATTTTCAGTGTTCTTTAGTATCGTACAGACGCACAATCGGCCAATTCTGCTCATCTATAGACACAAAAATAACTCATTGTTCCTCCCACTCACCCCTTCTCGCTGTATTTCATGGCGCTGTGGATGGGGTAACCTGTACCGCCAATGATGTCACACTTGGCCCCACCTCCTAACAGGGCCTTGACAGCCTCCACTCGGCCTGTACGGCAGGCCACATGGAGCGGCGTCTCTCCGTTCTTGTTGAGTTCGTCCACACCAGAGCATAACCGCGAGCAAAGGACCTGGATGATGAGAGAAAGGTGAGAACGAAAACAGCAGGAAAAGTGGAGAGAGGGAGAAATCATTTTAATGTGCACTTTAGAGGGTCTGAGGTCTGACTCTACCATCTTGCTTTAGCTGAGGCTCACCTGGATGATTACCGTAGAATCCTGCTTGGCAGCGTAGTGGATCGGTGTCTCTCCGTTTTGGTCTTTGATGTCGGTGCGAGCTTTGCTTTCTTCCAAAAGCTCCTTCACACATGTGGCGTCAGCTCGCCCACATGCCAGATGCAGCGGCGTCTGGCCTGATGCGTCCCGAGCATTGATCTGACTGGAGATGCAAAGATTTTGAGCTGATGTTGTGGGAGCTCTGCACCATGAAGCACCACAGAGGCTTTCTGTGTGCTTTAGTCAACAAACTTTCCTAAGCTTCTTTTTATTTTCTAAATTCTTCAGCTATATGTTTTCAAGTCATATCAGTAAAGCATGAGAGCTGGGGAGAGGGGGGGTTGTTGTTTTGTTTTTTAAGCAGACTTGTGTTATTATTGCTTTGGTCAAGGAAGGACTGCCTTTTCCTGTTTTTCCTCAGCAACTCATTTCACTTCGGATTTCCTTATTATGTTATTCTCGTGTCCAGACCGTGTCCGTCCATTCTCTCTGCCGCTTATCCTTTTCAGGGTGGCTGGAGCCTATCCCAGCTGTCTTAGAGCAAGAGGCAGGGTACGCCCTGGACAGGTCGCCAGTCTGTCACAGGGCTGTCACAGGCACACTGACAACCATTCGCACTCACATTCACACCTACTCTCCAGATCGTGTCTTTTAAGTTAAACTTCCCAGCAACGCTACTTGTAGAGGATGATTTTCAGGCTGAATCAGAGACTTTTTTTGTGAAACCGTTAGAACTAAATATCCACTAATAGACTAACTGAATCAAGTAGCTTTCAATTTTACCTCAAAATTACTCAAAAGTCACATTTTTTATTAATAAGACAGAAACTTTTGCCAATAAGGGAGCAATTTAAAAAATGCACAAGAAAATGAGTGAAAAAATAAATGACTTGTATCTAATGAGCTATAAGCTTCGATAATACCATAAGTGCTTTGAGGCAACATTTCTATAAACCAATTAAATAATCAATACCATCTGTTGCACTGGATTCATTTAGCTGGCACAGACTTCCTGACTAATGAGTTACATCTCTCTTCATTCGGCATTATTCATCCACCCATCCATCAATACCATAAACACGAAGATGCAACTGTGAGACGTACTGCTGTCTGATATTTCACTCACTAAAAGGCCAATAAATACAAAATAATCACAGAAACCCAAAAAAGAATATCAATTTGGCTCATCTTACCTCTGCACATAGTTATGTTTGAGACACTCTCTCAGGCCTGTTTCAACAGCAATGTGGGCAGAGCTCCAGTCTGGGTGAGCACGGATGCAGTCCACGATTGGCTGTGTCGACTCACACTTCAGAAGAAGCGTTTCATAGAAAGGTCGAAGTTTGAGGGCGTACTGTGGGAACCAGTTCATGGCATCTTCCTCTGACACCACCTGAAACAGCCTGCAGGCAATGCAATGATTACAAGAAGAGGAAATGTGGATAGCTTACCAAAAATTCTGCTAATGTGGTACCAATGAACTAGTAGATAAAGAATAAATAATGATATTTCTCCTCTGCTAAGAAAAACAATTCAAAAAAGCTTCAAGCATTAGTGTTTAAGACATTTATTCCTTTTATTTCTTTGCTGCTTTAGCTTCCAAAAGTTCCTTTTAATGTTTTTTTACATACTATACATAAATAATATTTTACGTTTGCTTTCAACATATCCACAATCAATCCTTTGCTTGTGTCTCAAACCATCTCAAACCTCACCTCTAGTTTCTCTCCAAACCACTCAATCTTAGCTGTCTCTCTGATACACTCATCTATAATCCTGTCCCTTCTGGTTACTCCCAACAAGGATCTGGTTTGCGCTAGTAAACTAATAATATTTGACATGTCTGGTATCAGCTGAGGCCAATGCTAAGACCTTCTTTCTATCTTTCTTCAAACCTGCCTTTCAGATCTGTAGCCAAGCAGCAACATCCCGAGCTGAAAAGTTATGCCAGCGCAGATCTGCCAAACTCTGCAGCTCCCGGAGTGGCAATATGAGGCCAACTCCAAAAGCAGGTCAACTCCCTTATAAGCTCATGGACAACTTTAACAGCAGAAAGAAATAAACATGTTTACAGCTGGGTACATCAAATGCTTTGGTTTCTATGACTAATCCTTTTCACGACAACTGTTCAAGTTAAAGTGAAGACTTGTTAAGGGTTAAAGTTAGGGGTAAGGCTACCCTGATTGTCAATTGTGACAACACAGGAGATCTCCTCACCTCTGCTCATAGGAATAACAAACCTGGACCTCTCAGCTTGTTTGTGTTCTTTGATACTTTAGGGGCATTTGTAATGGAATTACCTGACAGGACCTATATGCTTTTTGTAGTGGTAACAGATTGTCCAGATAATCCCGACTGATAGTCTCTGCTTTCATTTTTATGACTGAAGTTGTAACATTTTACTTGAAATGTTACTTAGCACTAAATAGCAAATATACATGTACTTTACAGATGCAACTTCCCAAGCAAGATTGCTAGTACTAGTTTATAATTTAGTACTCCCTCCTTGTGTCAACTCTGGTGCACAAAAACCAACAACATGCCTCCCAAAATGCTAACAGTGAAGGCTGAAAACAGGGTTTTGCAAAAAAAAATGGATGATGTCATAGTTACTAGCATATCACATGATTGCTACAAAGCTTTATAGCTGATAAAATAAAAGGCATAGCCTTAGCTGCCTGTTTGAGTAATAGTGATGTAGGCTAAACCAGCAAACCAGTAAGATGACACAGGATGAAATGAGCAACTATGCTAATAAAAGCAACTCAAAGTGCAAAAGAAATGTTTTTGCAGCTGACACTGAACTTTCACACCCATGTCAGAGTCTGCAGAACACACAGAACAGTGTATCTACGTGATCAACACAGACCTCAAAGCCACATTCGGTGTCTCTGGGCAGAGAAGGAGACAGTCCCATGACTGACTGTACTTGTACAGAACTATGCGACCCTCCTCTTTTAATTTCACTTTCCCTCCTCCTCCATAGTCAGACAGCGGCACTTCTCGGACCCGGTAAGGGTTGGTGAAGAGGGTTGACACAGAGGAGACTGTGTCCAGCAGCCGCCCTAGGAACTGCATCGTTACCTGGGAAGACAGAGGGGAGGCTGAAACAAACTACAGCAGCCTGTAGTATTGCTGTCAACATTAATGAATGATTTATTCCACCCCAGGAGCGCATGTTACCACTGAACAGGAGCGACATGTGCAATATCTAAGAGATACATACATATAATACTTATCGTTTCTATTTTGTGGAAATACAAGTGAAGTAGCTTGCGGGTATAAATAAGCGCTATATTACAGTTATTATTAGGAACTGAGTGAAGGTTAGCCCACTCACCACTTCCTCTGACACTCCAACACCTGCTTTGTTGATATGAACACTGAGTATAAAAGAGGCTAGTTCTCGTTTGAATTATAAATAAGTGGCTCCATTTATGCTGCTCATTCACGAGTTTCAGCTTATCTACAATCAGCCAGACAAACTACCAAGGCTAAAAAGCCGCAGACGGCGAACACTGAGCGAAACACCCTAATCGTTCATGGGTTTTTTAATCGCAAACTCATTTAGAGCACACAGAGTACAGTTAGTGGGCTACTTGTGAAGTGCGGCTAATCGCATTAAGCAGTAAATACGCAGCCTGCTGCTGTCTGCTTACCTGCTAGCTGCTCTCTGTGCCGACTACCTGACTTCTGACACATACATCAACAACCGCCGCCCTGCAACCAACCCTGCAAAAGAATTTGATCGACGTGTGTTTAACCAATCACAGCTTAAGAACGTGAAGGAGCTTGGCAGAAAGGGCGGGGCAAAAATAAAGTCACACCAACAACGACACGACTTTTGACCGACCAATCAACGACATGTGAGGATTTCAACAGTATTATATAATTGACTTCAGGCGCGTGAAGTAATTGTTTGCTTTAGAAATAAAAAAGCTAATTATTTAAATTTAAATTGTGTTTCCACACAACTCTGTCGAATTAATTCGATTAAAATACATTTTCTTCCTATTTTTTTCCCCTTTTTCAATTTTTACCAGTCTTTATCCCTAAGTCCTTCTTTACAACCCTTGATTCTAGAATTTCCTCCTACGTTTGGAGGGTAAAAGACCTCAAGTAGCTAATATGCATTTACAGAAACCTAGGACTGAAGGGAGCCTGGCACTCCCTAGCTTCCGCGTTTGCTATTGGGCTGCCAATATTTGCTCCATGGCCTACTGGTTAAAATCTGGGAAGGTTGTGGGCCACACCACTTGGCTAGCAATGGAGTTTGACTCAACTCAGGGTATGTCTCTTGCCTCCTTTCTGGGTTCTTCTCTACCTTTGTCAATTGACAACTTCACATTCAGCACTTCCTCCGGGTGTGGGCTCAGTTCAGGATGCAGTTCAATCTCAAGAATTTCTCACTTCAAAATCCTATCTTATTAAATCACCTATTATTCCCTTAAGCTTTGGACAACTTGTTTTGGGTCTGGTTTAGAGCAGGTATTATTTACTTTAAAGATATCTTTATACACAACTAGACTAGCATTATTTGATCAGCTGTCAGCAAAATACACTCTTCCCAAAACTCACTTTTTTAGATATTTACAACTCAACATTTTTTGCAATCCAACCTCTCCAGTTTTCCAGAAGCTCCAGCTACTAACTTACTGGACAAGCTCCTTAGTTTGCAACTATCAGGCAAAGGTATAATCTCCCGCATCTATAGCAAACTGTGCAGGATAACTTCAGCTCCCTTTGAAGGCCTTAAATCCACATGGGGGAAGGAGTTGGGTATATCTATGTCAGATGACGTTTGGGATTCAGTCCTCACTCTGGTAAATTCTATGTCACTCTGCACCCGCCACTCCCTATTACAATTCAAAGTAGTTCATAGGGCCCACTTGTCTAAATACAAATCAGCTAAGATTTATCCTGGCTCTATCCCTCGCTGTAACAGCTGCGGGTCTGATGATGCCAATCTAACCCACATGCTTTGCTTTGGACCTGCCCTGACTTGGTAAATTTTTGGGAGGCGGTTTTCTACACTCTGAACAAGGCTACTGACCTGAAACTGGCTCTCAACCCCCTACTTGCTCTCTTTGGTACAGTGGGTGAGGATGATAAGTGTATCACTGGGGCAAAACGTTGGGTGCTGTCCTTTGACTAACAGATTTGCTCATCCCACAGAGGTCTGATGACCTACCACTCTATAGGTTTTACTGTGTTAATGTAAATGTGAAGCTCAGCTAACTTCTGTGTGGTTTGCAAAGAAAGGTTTTCCTGGAATCAATCGCGCCTCCGTTTGTCCGTTTTGTTCCAACGTGAGAAGTTCTGTTTTGTATTCAGTGTAACCAGTTTTTATGTTTCCCTTGTTTTTTTTTTTCCTTTTTTGTTAACTGTATCCACAATTGCTCAATAAAAATATTTTGAGTAAAAAATTTTGTTTCCATTTTGTTCATTTTTCTCAACAAGGCTCCCTTAAAGGCAAGACGACAGACTGATGTAAAGGAAAGTTTAGCTTGAACATAAGCTACCAAATAACAGTCATGTGGTATAAAACTGTTATTATTATTATCATTATTAAGCAGTTTTAGTTGTCAGCAAGTCCTTGGTTCAAACGCTATTGTAAAACATACCCCACAAGAAGCTTAAGAGTACCATGACTGTGTCATAAAATGTGAACCTCTCTTTGGCTTTGAGTAAGCTTCAAAACAGCATGTTTATCACACCTGTTCTTATTGTTTGTTTTTCCTTCCAGAAAAACCTGACATTCACACCAGCCTCCAGCATATATCGCCTTTGTTTTTGAATCCTCGTGACATTTTGGCTTTTGCCATCTTTGTTTTGGTTTGTTTTTTTCTATGAGAGACGTGAACATGTTTGAAGAAGAGTTTAGAGTTTTCGATACTTACACTTAAACCGTGCTTATAACAGGGTGTACTTATCAGACGAGTTAAACTGAAAGCCCTGAGTCTTTCAGTACAATAACAAGCTGAATGAATTGTGACAAAGTCAGCTTTGTCCCTCCCTTAACAACACTCCTTCAATTACACAATACTTAAAGCCTGAACACAAACCAGTCACATATACATTGCACACAAAAAAAATAAAAAAAAGTTAAGGGAGCATGTGATTATCACATTATAACAGCAACTCAGTTAAGTTTCGGGGATATCAGTCAGTCCTCTCATGAATAACAAGCCATTGAGAGGCAACAACAAGGCATAGATCATTGCCCTCTCCTTATCTTCCCTGACTGATCTTTCTCTACTTTTGTTTTTTGTTAGTGTCCTTGTTACTGCTGGTAGAACAACGGCACATTCAGGTTGCACAGGTAGCGCAGCTCCCGTTTTAGGATGGCCTATCTATACGTGCCACTACAAGAAGGTTTGCTGGGTCTCCATAGTCTTAATAGTGTAGATGAGATCCCATTAGGCATGAGGAGAGCTGGATCAACCCACCAACGACACGGGTGTCTGCTCCTTTGCGCAAGGAGGAACAGGAAGAGTACTGCAAGAGTCTCCGGTGGGACACTCATGCATGTTTCCAAACTGTCAGATTTAGATTCCTTGAGGGTCTCACAAGGTCACAACATCCTTTAGTTTTGACCTTCCGGTTCTATATAAGCGGAGTTCAACAGATGGGTTGAGTTTCCTTATATTGTGCTCATTTACAAAGACTCATTCAGACTGATGGCAATATGTTGGCAATTTGTTTGCATTTATAACTTTGACAACAATCATTTGCAAGACTTCAGCAATCCCTCTTAGAGTGATTACAGTCAATCCAAGTCAGACTGCACTGTTTGCAGAGAGGTCGCCACTTATCAGGTGACCTGTGCAATCCTCTTGTGATCCAAAGTGGCCGTGAAAGTGTAAACTTGTCAAGCTATGGGCAACCAGGTAATCACCACAAGTTGCAATCAGTGCAGAATAGAAAATACAAAATAATACAATACAATCACCAATCATACAGTCTTTTTTTTTGTGTAGATTCAAGAATGTTGCTGTGCTGTTTTTACTTATGTGACTGAGCCATTAGTTTGCACTGAATTGGGATGAAGCTTTATCAAGCTAAGTGTGTCCAGTGTTTGATGAGTTTTCGGTTAAGCCCGTTTAATGAGAGTTTGCTCAGCTAATGCTGGATGGATGATGTTGGATGATATGAGCACTCTTGTTCCTAGCATTCAGCAACTTTTTAAGTGATTTAATAAAATATCAGTATGTTCTGAGCCTGTATCAATACAATCTTGCCATGCAAAATATTGCCATACTATGCTGTATCGATTTCCCCCCCCCCACTACTACTAATTGTTTCATAAATAGCTTCTTGCCTTAAACCAGAGGGAATTTTTAACTTGGAGGACTAATGTTTTGCATTCAAACCAAATGTCGGACGTTTATTTTATCTTTAAAATAACTAACTAAATAAATACATGTTTAACAAAGTAATGGAAATAAAATTTGTCAATTTCATGGCATAGAAGGGAATTTTCAATTTTCGTGGCTTAGTGGGACGCTTGAAAAGAGCCATTGATTAAATTGCCCACTGGTTCAAATGTGTGACTGAATACTTGAATAAGGCAAATATTATTAAACCAGTTAACATTATGAAATGTAAATATAAATACAATGTAAAATTCCGATGACCTTCGGTGTTAAAACATTTGTATGAAGTCTAATTAGGTCTGTAATAATTTAATTAACGTTAATAACCTTTTCGTGTCTTTTGACGCTGATGTTTAAAGCTCAGAGCCGCGCGGGCTTTTTTTCTCCTCGGGTTGCCGGCGACCAGATAGGTCGCACCGCCGCCGCTGCTGCTGTGCTGTCTCCGTGTGTGTGCAGCCCTTCGCACGGTTTGGTCGATCCGTGCAGACAGCGGAGCTTGTCGTCTGGAGAGACGGACACCGAGACAGGTAGCTCAGTTCGGGTATGAAACATGGAGCTCTCGGCGGCGGGGGATCGCATTTTCGCCGCGGAAGCCATACTTAAACGCCGCGTCCGTAAGGTGAGCTACAGCCGCCACTGTCCCGCGTGTTTTGACTACGTGCAGATGTTCCCCGTCGGCAGCGCGGCACTGCTTTAGTCCATAGGCTCAGGGCTGTCATCTTACGCCTATGTAATACTGCAGAGGCCTTCATGCGTTTGCTTTTACTTTGCTAGTCCGAGCTAGATCAGAGCAGCGAGGCTTATGACTCGTGGCGCGGACATTGAGGCAGCGACAGGGCAATAAAAACAACACAAAGAACGGGGTGGCTGCAAAGACACGCTAGCCCCGCTGATGGTATTGTGGACTGTGCTGTGAAACTGAGAGGCCTGGTTTGCTTGCCAGCTAATGGTAGCTAAAGCTATACGGTCACAGTCAGCGGTTCATAGCCCAGTTTATGTGTAGCTGCCACATTAACGACAGCTTGACTTTGTTACTTTCTCGTGCGAGTTATGAAGGTGGTTGCAGAAGCACAAGTTCTCTTACGCCGGTGATGGGAAAGGAGTCTTCAACCATAGCTGATTAAGGACTTTTGAGAGTTTCCAATGTGTTTTCAGGATTTTGCATGTAAGAGACTCTGTCCATTATGGCATGTTGCCTTCTGAAGTACCGGTATACAGAGTTAACCAGCAAGGCCAATGGCTTCAGAAGTCCCTGCTTGGAGTTTTTAGCGTATCCTTGCTGTAAAACACTTGCAACACACGAACAAACGTAGATTTCACATAAACGATACCTAAACGTGAAATGTATTTGATCTTATTATAAAACATAGGAAGATTTAACCCTAGCGGAGACGTGAAAGAAATGAAGTCATCTTCTGTAACTTGGACTGAAATGTGCTAAAGTGCATTCAGTTGCATTGCAGATTTGGTGTTGCTGTGCATTAACAGCATGTGGAGTTTTGTTCCCATGTTGGTGTAAAGGCAAGAATATCCTATTTGTAATTAAAAGACTCAAAACCTGTGTTTGAATGTTGTTGTGTTTTTTCCTTTTTAAAAAAATCTATTCTCATATGAACTGTTTTAGTAATTCTAACATTTGTCTTCTTCTTTCAGGGAAGGCTCGAATACCTGGTGAAATGGAAAGGATGGGCAATGAAGTGAGTGCCTTGAATCCACAATGTTAATGTGACACAAGCATTTGTTCGATTCAGCTGAAAAGTGCATATTGACTGTGCTTTGGAGCAAAAATGAATGCATGCTTTTTTCTTCATGTTGCTGCATTTGTGTTCAGGCACAGCACTTGGGAGCCGGAGGAGAACATCCTGGATGACAGGCTGATTTTGGGGTTTGAGCAAAAGTGAGTGTAGCTGCTTCATGAGGAGCCCTGCGTGTGCTTTGAGTAATCAGTTTGATTTTTATTTATGTATTTATTTTTTCTCTCTTGCTTGTTTTTATATTTTGGCTCCTATCTTGAAAAGTTTAAAGCATGTCTGCTCAGTCCCCCGGCCCCCATTTACCTTTTTATCATGTGTTCTTGTTTTAAATTACTTCCAGTGTCTCTTCCTCTAAGTGCTTGTGTTTACTCATACTTTCATCCCCCCGCATCCCCCTTTCGTGTCTTTACATTCCTCCTCTTTGCTGCCTAATTGAAAAAAAAATCTGCACCGAACTTCTTTTTGTCTGTTGCCAAGCTCTTTGAAATGCTCGTGCTGCTCATGGAAATGTTTAGAGTAAAGTTCAAGTATCAGAAAACTTTTAATGGGAGGCAGGGGATACAACAAATGACTGAAACGGTGTTTTCGCTACATGTCATTCCTCTCTTCGCTGGCTCTTACATTTCCTGTCCTTCTTCAACATTATCCCTGATGAAAATAAGAGCAAAGAATAAGGTTGTTTTTTTGTTTTGTTTTTAAAGGAAACCTAGCTGTGTTCTGACATGGCTGCAGAGATGCTCTTTTTGCCCACGCTCACCCACAGCTTTCATGTCTGTCATCTCCTTTGAGTCATTCTATTTGCTCTCGTTCTCTTGTTCTTTTTGTTGCGTGTGTCTTTTCATTTGTGGTCATTGCCATTCTAACTGTCACTACTTTTTTTTTTCTTTTTTAGAGAGCGGGAAAGAGAGTTGCACGGGCCAAAGAAAAGGGGACCAAAACCCAAGAACCTTGTAATTAAGGTACCTTTTTTTTTTTTTTTTTTTTTTATGCTCCTCCACAGGGAGGAGCTGCTGCATCTAAAATCATATTTAAAATTTTGACGAGTGGACTGGAAACTATGACTAGTTTGCATGAGTTAAATTTGCAGCTTTGTTGAAATCTGTACCTTTGTTCAGTTTGCATCACCACCCTGCAGGAAAGTGGAACATTCTGTTTGTGGTTTCTGCTGTTAAAGCTGAGAAAAAGGTCAACCTACTTGAACCTCAAGCGGTGTCTGAAGTTTATTTAAATCTTCATACAGTGCATGCTTTGTCTTTGGAAAATGACATGAAAAGAAGCGTGAGCGGCAGGGACACGTTTGTCCTGTGCTACATTTCACCTGAGGCACATACTGCAGCAACCTTTGGTCACAGAAAAACGCTTTCAGAAAGCCGTGTGAAAGGGGGGGGGGTCATTTATATCAACAACAATAAATGGAGTTACAAAGGAGACACGTCTGACTGAAGTTACATTCAGAACGGCTAAACGTTGTGGTGTTGGGTGCATTAACTTCTCTTTGTAACTGCCGATTTAGTTAATTTTAATTCTTTTGATCTCAAATTAACTTTAGTCTAATATAAGCTAAATTAGCTGGAAAGTGTGCACTTTTGAGGCATTAGTTACAACGCTGTCATCCAAGAAGCATTTTAATGGCTGATATAAATCATTGTGACTCTAGTGTTGCCAAAAAAAACTAACTTGAGTGAGTGCCCATGGTTACATAGTCTCAGCTCCACCCTCCAGAATTGTAGCTAGAATGAGCTGGAGGAGATCTGGTTCACTCACTGCTGAAGAGCAGAGCAAGAGCTACCAGGGTTAGCTGCAGTCCGAGGTGCTGGAGTTGAGCCAGATGTTTTAGCCAAATGTTTAAAAGTGGCTGCTGTTGCTGTGTATCACTCAGTAAACATGTTTAGAGGTTCAAAAAGCTCACTCTACAAAAATGGTTTCTTAAATGTGCTTTGTCTCGCAGGCTCGCGGTCAGAAAGGAGAGAGCGGCAGCCGAGCCTCAAACACCCGCCAGACCACTTTGCGTCCTACTTCGTCCACTTCTAACCGGGCAGCTTCCTCCTCCTCCTCTGCCTCAGCGCATCTTTTACCGTCGTCCTCCAGCTCGGCTGTCGCACCTTCCCCTAAACTTAACTCCCTTGCGGCCACACACAAACTGAAGAAAGACATTCACCGCTGCCACCGGATGTCCCGGCGCCCTCTGCCTCGCACAGACCCCATGGCGACCACCTTCTCCAACCCTGGTGGCTTCCCGTCCCGCATGCACGTTTCTCCCTTCTCTGAAACCGTCCGCATCCTTAACCGTAGGGTGAAACCCCGGGAAGTCAAGAGAGGCCGAATCATCCTCAATCTGAAGGTCATCGACAAAGCGGGCCGGGGTGGCACAGCGGCCGGGGGTCGGAATATTTCGGCAGGACGTCAGAACATCCCATCCCGCAATCGCATCATTGGGAAGAAGAGGGAAGCCCCATATAGACCTTTCCAGCCTCCTTTGAAGATGCTGGGGTTCCCGATGTACGGGAAGCCATTCGGGCTGCAGTGCGGAGGACCTGTGCCTTTTCACTCCCACCCAGGCTCATGCTCCAGCACAGGAGCTAGGGAAAGCCGCACCAGCCCTTCTCAGTTCCAGGCACCTCCTTCTCCTTCCAGCTCCAGTGGGTCTGAAGGAAAATCTCCCACCAATGCTACTGCTGCCCAGTCTCAGCCTTCCACTGGGGCCTCGCCGTCTAGCAAGGATCCCAAGTCCAGCAAACCTCACGCAGACACTCAGAAGAGCCAGAGCACCAAGTCCTCCACCCCTGCCGCGTCCTCAGATGCAAACCAGGCTGCATCATCATCATCCCCCTTCCTCCCCTCCTCTCCCTCTTCCTCCCTGGAAGACGAAGAGGACGAGGGCGCCCCGGACCGTACGGTGCCCTCAGAGGAAGGCAGGAAAAATCCTCGCCAGTGCAGGGCTAAACACCAGTTGCCCACCACGCTTCCCCTTGCCGCTCCCGGGGACCAAACCTCTGCCCCCACCGAACCTCCAAGGGTGCCCGCTGAGGGAGACCCCGACTGGCACCCTGAAATGGCTCCGAGCTGCAAGGATGTAGTGGTCACAGATGTGACCACCAACCTCGTCACCGTCACCATAAAAGAGTTCCCATCCCCTGCCTCCTGCCCCGCTTCACCTTCTGCTAGCCCCGAAAATGCCTCTTCCCCCCCTCCCACCGCCGCCTCCGACGACCCCTCCCCAGCGAAGCCATAGGAGGACGGACATTATGAAGTCAAATGCCATTGAAGAAAGGAAAAAAAAAAAGTGTCATGCCACTTCAGCTCTCTTCTACCTTTACCTTGAAGGGTATGTCCATATTTGTGTAATGAGTAATGAAATATAACCCAACACCGCCCTGTCATTGAATAGTTTAAAAAAATTGACATATTTTTTTTAGAAGAATTATATAAATTTGAGATGGGGCAGCTAATACGCCCTTCTTGGCATTTCGGTTGCCATATTTTGTCCACTTGCACAACACTGACTGTTTGGCTTGGATGGAAATGGTGGTAATTCTTTCACTTGCTTCATGCTGAGTTTATCTTGTTTGGTACAATGTAACATTGTCCTGAAAGTGGAACCGTCGCCCGTTTAGTGTGCAGGTTGAACTTTTAGAAGGCATACTCGGCCTGTGTGGAAGAAACTTAATATTTAGATGCAAGCTCTGCTCTGGAGGCTGTTGTCAGCAGCCTGCAGGTGTCCTGACCTGTTAGTCTCGTTGGAAGTTCAACTCAGTGAACTTAACACAGCTGGATTTGGATATTGCATCGATGCAATAGCGAGGTAAATGCACTTGACTGCATCATTTAAAAACCAACCTATTCTGTGCGGTTTATCAGTTTTTCCAAAGCCTTCTCCTCTTGCTCTCTTGAATGCACATGCATATACATGTAAGTATTTATATGCACGCACAACCATAAAGGCTGATAAAGAATATGAAATTCAGTAATTTTTTTTTAAGTTATTGCTGCCATTTGCAGTCTCTTACATATTTGCCTTGTTTTTCACTCTGATCTCACCACCTACTTCGACTCCATAACGTCCACCAAGACCCTAAACTGGTCTGCAGTGAATTTGAACAGTTTCTCTGTATGCCGTAATCGCTAAAATTAACTTCTTAAACTGTCCAGGTCTAGAAGGTCCATGAGCTGAACACAGTTCAGACTGAAGCCGTCGACAAAATGCAGCTAAAAATAGAAGTTGACTCGGCGACAGGTGTTTCAAATCTGTGGAACATGAATCCAGGCAGCTGTGGCTTGTACAATGTAGCGACTGTTAAGTTTTGTCTATTTATCTTCCACTTTTGACTGGTTAAAAGCTGTTTCCCATGCTTTTCGTCCTGTGGATGTTTGCCAGTTTGTCCTTTTATGCTTCGTAACTGTTCTTTATTAGTATGTGCTCTGGTAGTAACGTCAATAGAAGTGCTTTATTCTTGCTACCCATAGGGCATGCGTGTGTCTTTCCACTGATGCAGAGCCGGTGCGAAGCCACTTCCAACTTGGGTGCCTTACGACGAAAAGCCTACATTTCCGCAGATTCATAACCGAACATTACATGGGGTTATGTAGCAAAGGCTGGGGTGATTTACATGGGATGGAGAATCTGTATTTGGTGAATTTCTTGAGAGACAACGGTGGTTACAACTTTTGGCGCAGTCAGTTTTGTGAAGCTGCTGAATGTCGGCTGTTTGGAACCAGCATTGATATTTTCTTGTAGTGGAAATGCATGAAACTGGTTCTACAGGGGGCACCTGCACTACTGTAGTGGAAAAGGGTTCATCTAGGCCTATAGCCATCAGACTCTAGTCATCATGATGAGAAGTAAGACAACTTTGCCTCTTGCTCCTGTTGTACCAAGATTTGTTTTGCTATAACTGAGGCCCAACATGTCTTTTAAGTCCTGGCTTTAGACTTAGTTGAGCTTATTGTCAGCTTAATGTAAACAGTGCTCTTGGACACATGTAGAGGAACAGTGAGGACCAAGGATACCTCGATGTTCCAGTCTAAACAGCACACTGCGTTTTTACTTCCTAAATGAAGCGCCGTTTTGCCTGTTTCCTGTCTTGTTGCTTTTACCCGTTTATGAAGGATAAAACCTTTGGACCGCTGTTTAATAACTGGAGAGGATGCTGGCACAGTTGTCTTCCCCTTTTCAGACACATCAGACAGGCTGTCTTTCAGTATGATCACAGTACAGCTGGTGTGTCGGGGAGCTGGATGGTTAGAAAACCTGCTTGATCTCTAACGGTTTGATCCAGCGCCCTTGTGTTCTTGGCTGTAAACCTTTTGCCGTGTACGTTAACCAGAGGTTGTTTCCAGCTAAATCCCTCAAGCTCGAAATTGATCAAAGTTTCTGACCTTACCTTCAAACGCGTCTGCCGTACTTTAAAGAAACCTTTACAGACCCCTTTATACACAGATTCTTTTTTCCTCCTGCTCTTTCTAGGCCTTCCCAGACTCTTCGGCTCTCAACTCCGCTCTATCTACAGTATGTGTTAGAATACATTAAAAGCTTCCGCATGCTTTGCCTTAGAGCTCACCGTCGGCTGCACTCGAGGCAACTGTAACCTCATCACACTTGGCTCTTATCAAAGAGAACGGCTGAAAACGTCATTAAATCTCGACTTTAGCTCGGTGACTTTAAGGGTCGCAGACTGTAATAAGTTTTTAAGTTTTCTGTCGTCTTCTTTTCCAGAAGTTGCGAGTACCGCTTTTTCCGTGTCTTTTAACAGGCGAAGGCGACGTTCCTGTCATATACTGAATGGTTCTAGTTGTTGTCAGTGCTGTTTCAGTACTCTCTCTCTTATAGGTTACACTTGGAAGGATTTATTCCAAAATGACACATCCATTAATATGAAGAAAAAGAGAAAAACGGTCTGTAGTTCAAATTCGAATCGATGTCTGTTGATAATAACACTACTTAAATCCTTATTTGACACAGTAAAAGCAGAGTGGTCCTATTTTTTTTCTAGAATTATTTTCTTCTCAAATGGATATATTGTAATTTGGAATAGATTTTTTCATCTACTCTATAATATGTTTAAGTGGTGGATAGAAGTGACTCTTGCAGTTGGTAGATTTGTAAGGTATTAGACTGCTAAGTGATGTTTTTTTTAAATTTTGTTTTAAATTTTTTACTTATTCTTTGTCATACGGAGTAGCACAACTCGATTTAGTGGCCTCTTTCAACCAAATAGGGCTCTTGATTTTTATAATTTCCGATTTTTAAAGCTTTTCTTTCCCCCCTTTTAAATAGTTTTCTATGTGATCTAAGTGCTAGATTCATGTTGGCACTAATTAGAAGAAAAAGAAGGATCCTTGTTTAAACGTATGAAATGTGATGCTTAACGAAATGGACACGAGCATTATTTTGTTGTTTGTACTGTAATTAAGTACTTTTTTTGAAATATGCATAACATTGTCAATGTGATGATGTTTATTTGAATGCCATTTTCTTTTGGCTTTTTTAGTAGTCTAAGATGGGTTTGATCAGAAGGACTCACTGATTTTTACATGTCAAGACTGCAGTTTCGTCTGGTTTTATGCTAATATGAATTATGTACATTGTATTGATGCTAAAGAGGAGGAGTTGGAGGCTGACATTGTAATGTATCTGAACTTCAGAAGCATGTTTTACAAACCCTTATTGTACAGATTATGTATTCAGTGTCACGTTACCTGTTACTGTTGTTGCTTTCTGTGTGTTTCTCGTACAAAGCTTTTAATTAAAAGCTCTCTAAAAAAAACTTCCTTTTGGCTGTTGTCATGTTTTAGTGTGATTTAACATAAGAGGCAGACTGTAGAATTAACAGCTGTAGTTTTTCATTTTACTTGGTGCCCGAAGTGGTGCTGACAGCAGAGCTGCAGTTAGGCTCATCAATTCAACTTCTACACTTAAAATCAACTCCAGATCTGCCCAACTTATGAAACCTCACCTGACCCGGGCTACAGCCGTCTGTTAAATAGATTTCACAGGACTCTGAATTCCTCTGAAAAATTAAGTGTACCTTTACTGCTTTCACAGGAAATAAGAACAAAAGTAGCAGCTGGCTGCTGCTAATCAGACGCACAATTCCTTCAATTCATTATCAAGTGTGAGCACCTTTAGACTTTTTTTTAACAGTTTGCTGCTCTGGAGTGTTCTGGTGTGTGTTAACAAAGTGCTAAATCTTCCTAGGAGTGTATGGCTTAGTAAATTCACCCTAACGTCAGACTGAAAGGGCCAAAAACTTGGCCCTAACTGTATCAGAAAAGAGGTGGAGAGGGAAATCAAGTCAAGTGGCTTTATTGTCATTTCAACCATATACGGTGGTACAGTACACAGTGAAATGAGACGGTGTTCCTCCAGGATCATGGTGCTACATGTAACAGAAAATCAACACAGGACTACATAAAGTGCACGTGTGCAAAACTTGCAAAAACAGTGCAACACCAGGCAGAACAGAAAGATGCAGACACAAGGCAGTGCAACAGAAAAGTGCAACAATGACAAAGGATTGTGCAGAAAGCACTTGAGTTAATGGAATGTTTAAAGGTGTGTGTGTGTGTGTGTGTGTGTGTGTGTGTGTGTGTGTGTTATATGTAATATGACACTGTGCAGGAAATGTTTGACTGCCAGAGCTTCATATCAGGTAATCTCTCCATATCCGCCACCCTATTTGTCATGTTTGTTCATATTCACATGGCAGAGTGTACAGGGAACGTCTACGAAGTACAACACAAACAAAAATATAATACATATATAAATGTTCTCAGACAGTGTCACCGATATGTAACGGGCCTCTCACAGCCGGCTGCACATAGAGACCAGTTCTGTTATTGGAAAACGAATCATTTAAAAAAATATATATATATATATGAAAGTTAGTTTGTGTTTTTACTACAGAAATATAGAGCATGAAAAGGCTTCCAGTTACTCATGGATGGTACGTACTGACACTACTTAAAAACACTGATAAGTTCTTACTCTGATACGGCAGAAATGGCTAATAATAATAATCCTGCTTGGACCATCTGGAAAAAAAGACCAATTTCACTTGAGCACTATTGCCAGAGTCCACTGTGAGGCGCTGTTGAGCTGCTCATTTTCTTTCAGAGTAGTGGAGCAGCAGCATCTGTGTTCTCAGATGGATTGTGAGAGTTGGGGGTCATATTAAGGTCATCACGCCTGTGTATTCATCTTTGTGTGTTTTGATGTGGAGATGAATACGTCGAGTTCAAACAGCTTCATCCTTTTGCACAGGCAGTATTTCATTTTATTCTTCTACCCTTCAGACTGTGGGACGTATAACAGAAAGACACATGTAGTCTCCTTTCACTCCTTCCCCGTGCTGCCTTTGGTTCTCTGTCTGTTTCCTTCCTGGCCCGATACCACAGGCGCTTACTGTATGAGCCAGATGGAGCTAAAACAGACCCAGAGTTTGATACGAGTGGCCAACATCTGTGTGTTTGTGTTTGTGTGTGTGTATATAACATACACATGTGCATTAGTGAGTGCAAGCTCAGTCACCTCTGGAGATTAAGCCACAATCTGGGTTACTGGTCATTAGACTGAAGCCCATCTGCATTTGGTGTTTGAGCTTCTGATGGTTATAGATACATATTCCGTATTTTTCATGTGATTTCATTCATTTCATTCTGTAGGAGTTTGACTTGAGGGTAAAAACTAACACAGCAGTGTAGTTCCACAGTATTCCTTATATCCTGTTAAATAGAAATTTTAAACTGTGTGTGTCCTTGCAAAATAGGTACTAAAAGTGAATGTTTTCTCTTTGCTTCATAAATATTCCAGCCTGTTCACAGCGAAAAGGCCGGGTCAAGTTGATTGCAATGTTCCACACTGAAAACAGACTCCTAACAAGGTTAAGCTGCATCGAGAAATTTTTTTAAAAAACACTCTCAAACATAAGCCCTGCAAAATCAATGGGTGACACCTCACCTCCTGTATTATGGAGCAAGCACACAAGAAGAAGAGGCAGAGATGCCTTCGTTGGCTCTGCAGACTGGAAGGAAAGCAGTCGGAGGACGTGTTTACATTCGCTTCGCCAACTGTACACAGACGGCAGTGCTGGTTTTACTTAGCCGGTCTGTCGCTTTACACTGAACAGATAGGTAAGACGTTTTGAACAAACGGTGAATTCTAATGACTTTGACAAACACAAAGTGCCACCAGCTGCTCCAGGTTTTCACTTATGCCATTCATGGATGGGCTCAAAATCTGACACAACCAGCCCTGAGACGATAAATCTCACTTTAGATCTTCTAGCGTTGACAGCTGCACTTTTTAATTTGACTGGCTGCCTGGAGTGGTGTTGACAATAGAGACGTCAGACGAGGAGCGCAGAGGGAAATGTTTGGCTGCCGGAGCTGCGGATCTGGTTTCATATTCTAAATCATCTGTTCATCTGATATCCATATGAAAATATTGTTTGCTGCAATTTCAACCTTGTTGGTTGGAAACCATGTTTTGGCTGCTGTGAATCTAGCCAGTGCACTGCTGCTCACTGCCTGAATGCTATCATCATTGTACCCGACTGGGTGGGACACATGGGGCTGCTTTCACAGTCTTTCTCCAGACATCAATTAAATCCTTAAAAAAAGTCACTTGTGTTCATCAAACAGAGTGTGAGTGTGTGTTTTTTAATCCACTCTGTAAAATAGCTTAGATTTAACTCCACACCTTTAATTCATTTACTATGCACAGCTATACAAAAATGCAATCCACTTACTATTGGGTGGAGGCTGTACCTCAAGAGGTTCATCTGCTAATGAGTGGAGGGTTGGTGGTTCGATACTAAGCTATTTGAACTCTTGTGTATGGGGCTGCATAGCTGTGGACCAGTCAGGGTGCCTGTGCTGACTTCTGTCCACTCCTGAAAGCACCAACAATGAACATGTGAGCATCAGAACTGGACCACAGAGCAGTGGAAGAAAGTGGCTGCTCTATGAATCACGTTTTCTTTTACATCACATAGGTGGGGCTCTGTGTGCATTGCTTACTTGGTGAACAACTAGCACCAGGATGCACTATGGGAAGAAGGCAAGCAGGCATTATTACTTTGTTGCATATCACATACACCCTTTCATGCCTGTGGCTTCTAAGGTTTTGATGGGCCTCCAAATTCTCCAGATCTTAGTCCAGTCGAGCTTCAGTGGGATGTACTGGGCAAGTCAGATTCATAGAGGCCTCACCTGGCAGCTTACAGGATCTGTTGCTAACATTTTGATATCACATTACACCTTCAGTGGAGTCCATGCATTGAAAGGTCGGGGCAGCAAAAGGGGAACCTACACATTATTAGGCAATTAGGCATTAGCTAATGAAAACTGTCACTGTGAATCGAGAGGTCCAGGCTGACGCTTATATTAACAGCTGTGAGAGAAATATCTATTGGAAAGTGTGTTACAGACATCAACAGCCGCTAAGAATGAAATAGAAATGAAGTAATGAACAAGTCCCTGAACCTGTTGAACATATCCATCAACCTTAATTTTTTTGGTTAACGCTAATAAAACCTACTCGCCTCCTACACTATCACAGCAAATACAGTAAACACTGCTGCAGTAACGATGTAGCAATCCCAGGGTGTCAAAAGCTGCTGTTCCGTGAGAAGCTGCTGGTGATTCACGCAGAGATACACAAATTCTCCTTTAGCTACAGCGGCGCTGGATGTGACAAAGATAGCCCTGCTGACATTAACCCGATAATTCGTGACACCAACAGCAAAGAACACCTTGGTGTCAAACGTCAGCGTTTGACCTGCCTTAAAATGAGAACACTGAAGTCCAGGGTTGTCAAACTCATTCATGGTCCACCTACAGCACAAACAGGCCTTTGATCTCAGATGGACTGAAATAAAAGTGCTGCATAACAAGAAAAAGAATACAAGTTGTTTCCATTCCTTTGAGTGTAATTAAGTACAGGCTCATTCTGAAATTAAACGTTGAATAAAACATGTATTTTCAAAAGACGTGATGAGCATCCAGAGCTTGCTTGAGAAAAATAAATGCACTTTCAACAATATGTCTCAGTTTTTCAACATTCAGCTGGTCGACTTCTGTTGTAAGTCAGGGGAAGACGTAAGCACGATGATGTCTGTGTGAGTAAGAAGGCTATAAAACTGCAGATGATTCAGACCTCACAACACAATGGCTGCTGCTGTAAAACACAGTGAAAAGTTTCTGCTTCATTCTCTGCAATCCAAGCAGCGGGCCACGGGTGGATATGGCAAGTATGTGTTTGTGAGATATCTCTGGAAAGTGTAAGCTAGGTGAAAGGTGTGTCATGGGAAGTGACCTCACTGATTTTAGTTGTTTCATTACAAAGCAAGAATCGCATATTAATAGCTTTATTTTCCCTTCTCAACACTGACACTACCAGATCTTTTCACAGTGGTAGATTACATGTCTTTCTTTTTCTTTAAATTTAAATATGCATATTTATTTGGATTGCTATGAAGAGAAAACTTTGTAAAAGTCTTTCCTCCATCCAGCGGAGAGGATTTGTTTGCTGAACAGAGCCACAGAGGACAGAGGGTCAGGGTTAGACCATTCCTGTTGGCGTTAGTGCTGCATTAGTCGGGACTGCCTCTTGAGGAAAACATGTTCTTCCTCCTACTCAGTATAAAAACCCTGGTGTTAAAGGTCCCACGTCTCTGTTTTTCCTTTCTTCTTCTCCTCTACACTATCCAGCCTTTCCACTTCTGCTGCAGCTCGTCTTATGTGCGATTTCTTACATCAGATGTCGCATGTAAATAAACTCAGGCTGTACACATGGTTGTGAAAGAAAAAGTGCACTGCACGCTGGGATTTTGCATCCCTTATCAATGCAGTTTGGATTCTTTACATCGGTTTTTATGTTAAGTTTTAAGAATGTGTCCACCCCACCTACCCCCCCCCCCCTTCCTTCCTTTTATCTTCCAAGCCTCCAGAACAGGATGTGCGCTCAGGCAGCGCAGTCACACGCTGATCCATCATCGCCTTGTTTGCTCGGCTGCTGCTGGAGGTTCACCTAGGCTCTGACCCGCGCATGCCCACAGCCTCGCTCCTCCTCTCCGAGAGATCCCCATAGTAACGCGCGGAGGAGAGCAGCTTAGCAACACGGAGACTGGAGAGGGAGCATCTCTGCTCCAGACAGCGCGGTGCCGTCAACATTAGGTACACACAGAGGGTGGTGAGGAAACAACAGCAGCAGAGCCCCGGATCTACCCGCTCCTACAGTAAGTGTCACATTCCGCCTCAAAGATCTGGCGACTTTATTTGACACGTCAGGCTGAGATTATATTGAGGCGGGCTGCAGTCTTCCTACATGCTGTTCTGAGTTCCAGCCTCCAAAGCCCAGACAAGTCTTTGTTTTTGTTTTATTTTTTTAATTATTTTTTAAAGGATTTTTATTTGTATTTGTTTTTTATTGCAGGCTCGTGTTTGTGTCACCTTGTGTCTGAACTCCTGATCTACATCACTGCTCTTCACGGTCACCATGAAGTTCGCAGTGGTGCTCGTGGGAGCGGGCACTCTGGCCTTCCTCGGCGCGGTCATCTGCATCATTGCCAGCGTTTATCCGCGCAAACGCGCCGCTCTCGTCAGCGATAACGGAACCCTGACGTCGGAGTCGCTGCTCCAGCCTCTGGAGCCGGGGTCGGTGGCTCACGCCGGGCCGCTGGGCGCTCTGCACGGCGCGGAGTCGTACGATGGTGGAAACGGACTCGGCGGCATCGGCGTGGAGGTTCCCACTCTGAACGAGCTCAACCTTGGGGAGGAGACGGGTGGAGGGCCGGCGAAGCAGTTCAGCTTCAGCCGACTCATCTGCACTCCTGTGCCGGTGGGAGAGTGCAAGACTAAAGACCTGAGGCAGCGGAGGGACCACCAGCAGCAGCAGGCGGACGATCCGCTCTACGGCACAGGGGATGAAGACCTGCGGACCACCGCGGAGGAACTCCGGCAGATGGTCCTGCAGCAGAACGACCAGATCCTCATGGACCAGAGGACCATAAGGGAGCTGACCGGGAAGCTCAGCGAGTGCGAGAGCGGCCTGGAGGACGAGCGGAGCATCCCGGAGCGCAGCATCGGGGTCTGGAGCGGGAACCGCCGCGTCATGGCCGGGGATGATGTGACCTCATCCGCCGCGGCACAGCTGCAGACGGCGCGGGCCGTGGAGGAGCTGGCCCGGGCCATCATGGAGCTGAAGGATCGCATTGAGAAACTGGAGGTAAACACAGGGATGCTGAGTGCGGGCTTGTCGCTGATTAACCTCCTGTCTGAGTTTTGTTTGACAGCGGGAGATTTGGAGAGGCACCAGAATGATGCATTAGCAGATGAGTCAGTGCCATTCAGTCTAAATTAGGCTCATTTCAAGATCTATCCTAATTTTAGTTTGATATCCACTGTGGTGGTTTAGGACTAACCATTAGAATTGACTTATGATTCAGATTAAAGTGCCACAGCTCTGCTGGTTCTCTGAGCCTGAAGAGGGGCTCTGGTCTTTATCTCTCTACACCTCTTTTCATTCTCCCCTCCCTCTTTTATCTTCTGCTCCTCTTTCCTCTGACAAGTAGCCTAACTCGTGACACAGATACCCCTGATCTCTTGCGCAAGCTCCACACGGACCCATGGGAAATCTTTCCACCTGCTGGCCCTCACGCTCCTCCGCATCCCCCCACCCTGCTGCCTCATACCCTGTACCACCGCATCTCCCACAGCAGGATGGAGACATAAATAAAACATGAAGCTGGCTGGACAGGAAGGAGGGAGGTGGAGTAGGGGGGTCAGATTTTATGTGTGTGTGTGTGTGTGCAAAGATTGAGACACACACCCACACACAAACACTGCTGCATCACTGCTGGTGCTCTCCAAGCACAGTCAGTTACAAGGTTGTCTCCGTCAGTGAGAATTTATATCCTGGACGTCCACATCCAGTCCTGCCTCAGCAACTCTCTTGATATTATATATCGCCCCCGAAGCCGTCTCATCCACACTAACAGCTCGCTCTCTCTTTACAGCTCCTCCACCAACACCTTCTTTTTTCAACTTATGCTCTGCATAGGCTACTAATACTGCCAGTGCCCGGCTGCTACAAAAGCTCTCTCCATGGCGCTGCCTTATTAGTCGAGCCCCTTCCCTGCAGTTTCATTTCAGTTTTAAACCACCACTACATCTAACATCGATGGCAGCCATATTTAGAGGCAATAAAGACAGGACTGGGCTCTGCTCATTGCCATTATGTTAAATCTGTTCATGTATTTTTCACAAATATCCCCACAGTGAATAGGAACTGCACTGACAGCCTTTTTTAACAGCATTTTCCACTTTTAGCCAATATTCTCACCCTCAGCTCTCATAAAAAATAGTTAATTAATATTTATTGACATTGCTCAAGGCATCTCTACGCCCAACCTAAGGCGCAAATAAACAGCATTAAAAATTGAAAGTGATCAATACGATTAGAGGTCATTGACATCTGGACAACACGCTCTGAGGAGGACGGAGCTCAGAGTCCTTGTGCTTTTTTCATTTAATCTTGGGAAAGGACTCGTCTGCAAGGCTGGGTGTAATCCAAAGATTTAATTACAAAGTAAAGATTCAGATCTTGAGACATAGATCAGGGCAGATGTTTGGCAAAGGAGAACTAAATGATTACATCATATTAAGCATACGTGGAAAAAAATCAGCTCACAGGAAGCTTTGGTGATGCAAGATTAGTGCTAAAGATAAAGCTGCGACAAAGCCATAAAGAAATATGGCAAATTATAATTTACTCATCCCAAAAAGCAAATAAGCTGAGAATGATGTGGTTAAATATACAGCTTAATAAATTAAAATATCACAGTAAGCAGATGTCTCGGTAAGATAAAAAACTACATAAAAGAAAGGAGAACAATTAAATAGAAAACCAAGTATTAATCTAGATAAATACCATGTAAAAATATACACAAACATATAACATATAACAAACACAGGTTTGTTATAAAATGTTCAAATTTGTAGTCATTTACAATTACCAATGTAAATTTTCATGACAACAAATGAGTCATATCTAAATATATTATTTTTGGCACAAAGCCTACATGGTGAAAATATGTCTTTGCATGTAACAACACATATTCTGGGGTGGATATTTCCAGACATCATGGGTCAGGAAAGCCAGGAGTACAGCAACATCCAGGATAAATGGCTTACAAGGAGATGCTTCTGTGTCTAGACAGTCTGCATTCAGTGTCACTGTGTTGTTTGACAAGGATGTCTTTCAGTGCTTGAAATTCAAAAAAGTCATTTCCTTTTGACATTGAACAAAAAGCTCTAACATTACCATGCAGACTGACTCTTGGTTAGCAGCTGTGAAAATGCTGCCAAGATAAAAATGTTCGATGTTAAAGCACAGAAAACATTTATTTTAAGAAAAGGCTTCAGCCAGACTGATATAAGAGTAATACTGATATTTAGTGATTCAGAAATCCAATATATCAATCGATATTTCTTTTAAAAAACACAAATCATAAACAGATTTGCTTAAAATTTATTGTTTTCAGTTATTTATGACAGTGAACTTTAAAAATAATCTTTTTGTTATTTTAACAAGTTGTTCAAATCAGCTGGTTGATGAATTTTTGGTGTTCCAAACACTGGCTAACAAGGAAGTTGCAGAGTGCCCTCTGGTGGACAAACTATGTAACATCAACATTATTAACAAGTCTGAAGGGTGTTTCTCCCACGTCTTTGTTGCTTTTTTACTTTTCATTTATCTTCAGCTGTAAAACCTATTTGCTGATATGTCAGTATCAGCAAATAGGTGAGTGATATCGGCTGATATGATATTTGATTGGTTGTACTCTAGAAAAGTAATCATTAAAGGGCCACATGTAATAAGCCAAAACAGTTAAATAGTAGCGTGACTTTACTTTTGAACAGTGAACACAAAACACGGTTTGTAATCTACAATCCTTCTGCCACTCTCCCAACCTGACTCTAAAACTACACTAAGTGTAAGCAAATATAGAAAGTGTTTCATGCTACTAATGTTTACAATCAGACATAAAATGCTACTTTTGCAAAGAGAAAAGTGAAACATATTCCTTTGTAGACTATCTCCAAATCACACGGTGGTTAGATCTGGGTGGGTTCAAATCCCACTACTTCATGGAGTTAAGTGGGTTCAAATATTCATAGAGGAACAAATTATGATTCATTTTATTATATTATAAACACATCATTAAGTGTGGGTGTGCCCGGTTTCATTTGTGAATACACAGGTGACATCTGTCCCCAATAGCTCATTCTGGATCAAAGTGAAGTTCCTATTATTTTAATTATCATTAGTATTTATATTTTATCATTATATATATATATATATATATTACTTCCAAACTGTCACTGGAACTGTAGCATTACTCACCTACTGAATCATTTTATGTCCTTGTCATAAATCTGCTGTTTTTAAATTTGTTCTCTAAATGTGTCTAACCAGTAATAACTAGCATCAATGCTAACACAGACCTTGTGTTTCTTATTTCTCTCCTACAGGCAGAGATAGGCCCTGCTGCTTTGAACCTCACAGACACATCTGTGGGTGTAAATAGTGGCGGCAGCAGCAGCGGCAGCAGCAGCAGCACAGCTGGTAACACCGGCAAGGCTCCAGCTCCGCCTTCCAGCAGTACTTCCTCCCTATCTGCAGGGTCTGCCCCAGGGGGCCGCCGTCCTGCTTCCCCAGGCTCCTCTGCCTCCAGGCCTCCTGTTAAGGGTCCCCCTGGGCGTGGAAAGAGCACCTGGAGGGTGGAGGACCTGGAAGGGGAGCTGGAAAGGAAGATAAAGATGCTAGAGAAGGAGAGACAGGCCATGAGGAAGGAGACTCAGGGCCAGCATGAGAAGATCAACAAGGGCATCGACAACGTCAGCCACCGTGTCACCGAGCTGGAACACAGTGAGTATGGGGGTGGGAAGAAAGGAAAAAAAGAGGAGGCGAAATAAAGACATGACATTGTTGGCTAAATGAATGAAGGAAGGGACAGATTAACTGATGTAAAGGGTAGTAAGACAAGGGCAACATCAAGCTGAATGTAGATCAGAGCATTGCAAGAGAAGGCTGAAATGAAAGTTTAACGAGCTCTGCTGGTGAACTGGGTCATCTCAGCAGCAGAGAATATGCTTTAGATTAAAATTAGATGATTAATGAGTGCTTAAGAGTGGGAAAATGTCAAAGTGAGAGCTGAGAGCTAAAAATAAAAAATAAAATAAAGGAAGGAGAGAATAATATATCTGAAATCATCCGCTGCTTTTACCTGCTTTAATCTTCATCCTCACGGGGGACCTATGGGAAGGATTCTTGCTTTGCGGGTGTCAGGAACGAGGTCTGGATGTGTCACGTTGGTTTTGAAGGGCTTTATTTGCAGATTTTCTGAGCAGAAATAAGGTTACTGCAGGTGAAAGCTTCTCGAAAAAGGAGTATACGCTCTTTGATAATGGGAGAAGTGGACGCTCGGAGGTGAGATTGAGAGTTTGCGAGGTGCCAAGAGGAAGGTTAATAGGAAAAAGCGCTGATTTATCCCCTTTTTTTTCACCACTCTGTCATTCTCCCAACCTCTCTGACCACCTCTACATCTTCTCAGCTTTAAGAGCTGCAGTGTGGCCTCGAGTTAGAGAGGGTGATCATTAACTGTAACATCTGAGCTCTTGCCAAGCGCTCTGCGCCCGAGTGTGGGCTTGAGCGCAAACTAGCAGAGACAAGTGAGAAGGGAAGCCTCAGTGTCCTTGTATAAATTAATGCAATCATCGCTCGCTGTTTTCTCTCTGGGTCTGCTTTACAGCGTCTAACTTCTTTCTCTTCATCTCCTTCATGTGTGTCTCCAAAGCGATGACGGAGCCACCGTTCCCTGACGGCTTTGTCATCTCCTTCCCCATGCGGACCAACTACATGTACGGCCTGGTCAGGAAAGAGATTACTGAGATGTATGCCTTCACTGCCTGCCTATGGCTCAAAGCCAAAGAGGGTGGCATTGGGACCCCCTTCTCCTACTCTGTGCCGGGGCAGCCCAATGAGCTGGTTCTGTTACAGGGAGTCCACAATCCCGTGGAGCTGCTTATCAACGACAAGGTAACGAGGGTTTCTCAGACCTACCTGTCTGTTGTACCTGTGCTAATATCTGGACGTTGGGACAAGTCAGAGCATTTTACATGGGAAAATTAATGGTTCTTGTCGGGAAAAGCATTAATATCTCATAACCTTTAAGGTTTCCTTGTAATTACTCAAGCACAGAAGCCTGCAAGGAAACTAATTACGATGTCTTACAGAACAGTAGAGTATAGTTGATGGCTTACTGTTATTAAAGTGAGCGATGTAAACATGTTCATTCTCACAGACTTATTGAGTTTTACAAGAGTGATGGAAAAAGCAAACCTGAAAATGTCACAGCTGTGTGCTGTCGTTTGAGTAAACAGTACGTGAATCACCATCTACATTAAGTTTGGGTTTTGGTTCTCAGCCTCAGGTGTGCGCTGGTGTTGATCCCACTTCAGCCATCGATCACCCCCCCCCAAAAAAAGTGTATTCCCACAATGCAGAAAGCGTAAAACTAAAACAGACGGTGCACTTCAACAACACATTAAAAATTTACAAGTATAAACTAGATAGGAGGGAAAAAAAGAGCATTAAAATCAGACTTTTTTGTGATTTATCACGGCCAGAATTCAGTCGCAAACTGCAACATTACTTTGCCTAAAATTGTTCTTTGTCCAGAACAAATGCCTTGATTAAAATCGATTAAAAGTAAGAAGAACCTGTCCTCTGTTTGTGTTTTTCTGCATTTATAGCGGCGGGATCCACAGCAAACATACATTATTGAGGAACAGTCAGTTCCACGCCAGTGTTTTCCTTTAATATTGCTCATATAGTTGCTGTATAGTTCCCGTGAGAGAGTGCAATGTAGTCGAGGTTTACCGTGGTGAAAGGTGTTCCAATTATAATGCGAGCTCAGTGTTTGCAAGTTTGAGAAATTCTAACTGCGGCCGCTGTTTCCTCTGGCCTGTAGGTGGCGCAGCTGCCCCTGTCCCTGCCACAGGATGAGTGGCAGCACATCTGTGTCAGCTGGACTCTCAGAGATGGGGTTTGGAAGGCCTACCAGGGTGGGAAGATGAAGGGACGAGGGGAGGGACTGGCGGCCTGGCACCCAATCAAACCCGGGGGAGTCCTCATTCTGGGACAGGAGCAGGTGAGACGGATGCATGGATGGATGGATGATTCATAGGTGAATGATCCATGGATAAACATACACAGAGAAACCAGGAGAGCTATTTTAAGGAACCACCATTAGCTTTTCACACATGAAGAGGCAGAAACCTAATGGTGTTTATCCTCACGCTTGGCTGCTTCATTAGCGAAACAACTACATTACAAAATGGTTACGAAATGCGACATTATCCCTCCCTGGTGTCAGAAGAACAACCCGAAGCTCATCCCGCAGCTCTTTTGTCCTTGCATAAAAGACAAAAACACTGATGGAGCACGACGTAATTTGATGGATAGTTTCGAGAGGGAGCAAGTATTTCATTAATCTCCTCTGAGGATGGCTGATGGATTGCTGCTGGCTGAGATGTGTTGACTTGATTTTATCGAGAAAAATCCCAGGACACAAGAGGGAAATTAATACTTTTAATTGTATTTGTGCGAAATCAGGAAAAAAATTTAATATTTTCCTGCAGAATAAACTTTATTTTAGCTCAGTGCCTTCACCAGTTACCTGATTTGACATTTAAAGCATAGTTTTGGTATTTATCCAAAGAAGTGGGTAATCGTTATTTACTTAATGTTAATTATAAACTTTGTAAAGCAAACTGCTGCCAAACGATATTCCAATGGAAATCGTTCTTTTCCCCCCCACCACAAATAATAATGTAATAATGTTTAAAATGGCTGGTGTTGAAGTTCTGAATGTGCTATCTCTTCTACCCAAGGACACACTGGGTGGACGTTTTGATGCCTCCCAGGCCCTGGTCGGGGAGCTCTCTCAGTTTAACCTGTGGGACCGGGTGTTGAAGCCAGCCGAGGTGGCCGCCGTGGCCGACTGCAGCTCCTCAGCCCTGGGCAACATCGCGCCCTGGACCGACCACGACGTAGATGTCTACGGCGGCGCCACCAAGGAGTCCCTGGACCCGTGCCACGCTGCCCAGAGATCCAACCCCTCTGGCCCCAAACAGTGAAGAATGACTGGGAGAGGGCAGCCATGCTTGAGAGGTCAATTTAGGAGTGAATTGAAGAGTCTAAAGAGTTTTTATCCAAGTTGGAGCATCCAGTATAATTTGCTTGTTGGGGGTTGGTAAGCTTACTACCAGTGGACTATTAAATTGTCAAGCGTGGTGTATCTGTTCTGTTCTTTGTGTTGGTGTCCACGCTCATGTGTTTACTTCTGCAGTGAGATACAGTGAGCTTAGTCACAGAATCACCTTAGTGAAGGCTTGCATGGGTCAATCAACCTCTGGCGTGAACGTGTTTAAACGGAGACTCTGCATTGATAGAGTGGAATCTGTGGTTTAGATGGTAATCTCTTGGGCCAGTCAGCCATACGAGATTATTCCTGCAGGTTTCAGTGCAGTCATGGAAAGAACCTTTAACGATGCCACATCTAAGGGTTTCTCCATTTTTGTTTTTTTGCAACACAGTGACACAAAATTCCATCTTTTCTTCATCCCGTGTCCAGCTGGTTGTGTTATGATGCTACAGCTGATTTCTGACATGCTCTAGTGGTCATATCTATTTTTATTACTCAATGGGGAAACCGAGTTTGGTCCGTTTTTAACTGTATATGATCCTGTCGAGTAAAGTCTGTGTGCTTTTCGGTTTTTCTATATTGCATACCACGATTCGGTAAACCAGTGGACTTATAAATGTATAATGTGTAATGTACTTCTGCTAATGTTGCTCTGTATCAGTCTGCTCCTCCCCGCCCCATGCCTGCTGTAGCCTCTCGTGCATCTCACAGCCCAGCAAAGTGAAGTTGCAGCGTTTTTCTTTTCTTATTGTTTGCAGCTTAGATAAAACAGCGCTCTCAGCCGACCCCTGAAATAAAACGTCATGTCTAACTAAGCACCACTAAGAGAACTGGTATTACGATATAACTGTGGTATCACTGAATGTAAATCAAATGAAATGTAAATGTTTTGTTTTTTTGGTGAAAATTACAGTGTACGTATTCCACACTGCCCCACTCTACACATGTTTTTATTAAATCCTCACAGACTGAGGGGGAGGGTATGAGGTGGACTGATTCCATGATGGCCATTTTGTACTTAACAGCTGGCTCTGTGCAGAAAACACAACCTGAAGGGAAGACTGTGCTTCCACTGAGCGACAGTAAAGTCAAACTACTGCCACCTTTTAAGTAACCTGAAGAACTACAAGCCAAACAAATAGACAGTAAAATCATTAAGCCTTTAGATTACATTAGATTGTTGGCATTTTTTATTGATAGTTATGCACCATGGAAGCATTTGAGTCCCGTTTTTTACATTTAATGAAGGATATATATATATATTTCCCTTGTTTTAAGTTGCTTGATTTTGAGCACATTTTTTCCAAAGTTGATCGTAAGGGACTTTTTTTTACTTAAATAATTAATTAAACTTGCTTGAAGACATTTCACTTCTCATCTGAGAAGCTTCTTCAGTTTTAGGGTCAAACGGTGGAGTGTCCCAGATTTAAGCTCTGTGGGAGTGTCCCCCAAGAGGGACAATGGACCCCCTAATGATCCTCTACCTAATCACATGAGCCAAGGTGTGAAAATGGGTGTAGGTCACAATTAGCCAAGGTTTCAGGTGAGCTCATTGTGAAACCTAGCCCCACCCCATCATGTGATTTGAGGTCTGATGGCCCAGGATGTGAGTGGGCCTTCCCAGACGATGAGCTCAGAACCTTAAAGAACCTTAAAGAAGTCCAGGCGTTTTGTTTCTAAGCTCCTTAGACTACGATGACCTGGATGACTGAGAACCTTCACAGACAATTAACTAAACTGTGATGCTCTGTGTTTTGTTTTGGGTTTTTTTTTGCGGCGAATCTGTAAAGTCACATGGCTGTATTCCTCTGATGTCTGGCATTTGATTAGAATCTTTCATAGTCAGCTTGAGATGGATGCGCTTAATGGCCTGCATGGAGTTGAGGCGGATATGCGAGGCGGACATCACAGGAAATAGAGGAGGGAAGAGCAAACCAGATGCACTGTGAGGGCCGAGGGTTTAATTCTTGCTTCGTCCAGCTACGCTAAAAAATGTATCCAGTCAACACTGTGCAGCAAAATGAACTGTGGTTAAGATACACTCAGTGCTTCTGTTCACTTATTACCTCAATCCATCATTCCCGCAAACAATTTGACACCCTGTTGTAAAGTGCCTGCCAGGGCTCTCGTGCCCAAAGAATGGTCAGAGGTTTTTTTTTAGAGTTTTCTTCTTCGTCGTCTTTGTCTTCTGTTTCTCTCTCTCGGTTTTGTTTGGTCGTTGATGGCTGTGACAGTGTTGCGCTTGTCCTTATCTGCATCTTCATGGATCTTCTTTGGTATTGTGAAATAGGTGGATAAAAACTAATAAAGTGGTTATGACAACAGTTCTGGAGTCGTAGCTTTTTAACATGACCTCAAAAAAACAAAAGCAAAAAGAAAGAAAAGAAGAAAGTGTGGGATGTGTGTGCTGGGTTTGAGTGGCTGATTCCTTCAGACTTGCCAAGCCATCCGGATTACACTTCAACTAAACAATTGCACTCAGCATGCAAGCCTTTATACATAATCACACACTAAGAAAAGGCTTTAAGCTCTTTTTGTTGTGTGCCAGACTGGATTAACAGCGTATTTGCTGTCAGATGGCACGTGTGTGTCTTTTACATGGAGGCAGTACTCAGCAAAGACACTCCACAGAAATCCTGACCGCTGATGTAGACATAATAGATTACTCATAAATTTAACGAAGATCATGATGATTCGTGACTGCTCATCTGCCCACACACCACATTTCTTGGCGATCGGTTCATCTTAGCTGTGAGCTCAAGTCTAACCTCCAACTGCACAACACTTCATTAAAGTTCTCAATCTCACTTCAGCTGGTTTCCTGTGACTTCCTCAAAACCCAACCTTTACAGTCTGATGACCAGCAATTTATGTCTACACTCTCTATACTTTTATCTCTAAAACACCAAATTTAGCTGTAATTTAAGTAAGTTTCCTTTTATCTGTCTAAATTCATTTATTTTTTTTTGAAAGGGGAGAGTTTGGTTAGAAGAATCCCCTCGAGGTTCTCACTGTGTTTGATGCCAAAGAAGAAGAAATAAAAGATATCTATGATCTGTTTCCCAAGAAGATATTAATAATCTATGAGAGGCAGGAAAGAAAGCTTTAGAGGTAAACTGGCTTCTGCCACTCTAGACTGAAAAATCAACAACTGTGTGGGTCACAGTAAGATTTTCATGCAGAAACGAATGGTGGCTAGATACCTTTGGTAATAGGAAGCTGACCTTTGTGGCTTCAAGGATAGACTGTAAAAAATCAACACATCAAGTAATGTTTTCAACCCTTGAGTTTATTCTGGCTGTGCATATTGGGTTTTTTTTTCAAAGCCAGAAATTAGAGGACAAAAGGATAGACCAACTAACCACTAACCATTGGTTAGCTTCGTTACTAAGGTACATCCTTTTTTCTATGATTTTAACAGAGACGCTAACAATGGATCATTAAAGATGATTAAATTAAGCTAATAGGTAGGCTACTTAGAAGCTAAACAGGTCTCTGTAGGTTCAACAAGCGATGTAGGTACACCAATCTTTTATGCCATCGGTGACACATCAGTGGCTTGTTGGTCTAGGGGTATGATTCTCGCTTCGGGTGCGAGAGGTCCCGGGTTCAAATCCCGGACGAGCCCCATTTGTTGCTTTGCTCTAGAAAGTTCCAAGGGAATGAAGAAAAAGAAAAAAAAGCAGGGAAAATGGTTAAAGAAGTGGGTTTTATTAAAGTTTCTAATAACAACTAATCTTTTTGCAACTGCAGTTATTGCCATCTCATGGCACTTCTGCATTGGCCTAATTTTTCAGACACAGAGGCTACGTCCATGTTTGGTACCGTGTATGCCCACAGCTGAATATGAACAAGAACGTGAACAAGGCTCAACAACACCCACATGCCACATGTCAATAATTCCTAATTAGAGTTTAAATTAGCATGTTATATAAAAGGCTACTCCCTGTACAGCTGTTGCGAAGGAGGAAATGAAAAAAACAACACAATTTTTTGCACCAGGCTGAATAAACCTGCTTCTGCTATAAAGCTGAGTTGATTTTTTGGAGCCAGCAATTCATTTTCAATTCAGATTTTTTTTACATAGCACCAATTTCCAATAACAGTCACCTCAAGGTCATTTATACTGTAAGGTAAAGACCCCACAGTCTTCTGAAGAAAACCCTAATAACTAAACTTTGTGACCGTGGGAAGGAAAAAACTCCCTTTCGACAAGAAAAACTCTCGGATCAGAAAGAGGCAGCCGTCCATCCTGACAGTTGGGTGGCTGTGGCTCAGGAGTTGAAAGCAGGCCTCCTGCTAACCAGAAGGTTGGTGGTTCGACCCTTGTCTAACCCCAAGTTACACCAGAGTATGGATTTGTGTCAATGTTAAATAGAAACTACTTACATTAAAAAAAAAATGAATGAGGTGAGTTGTATATAAAAAAAAGTGCTCAGTTAGAATAGAAAAGTGCCATATACCATGAGGGGAAACAAAAGAAGATAGAGAAGAGAATGTGCGTCTAATATGGGGACACAAGCCCCCATATTAGACGCACAATAGTTTCCTGTGGATGGATTATTGTGGGATGTTTGGTTTTCAACATCAAACCATGCTTGTATACAACAATGGCCATTTGAGGCAAACAAGCACAACCAGCCAAATCTGTGAGAACAAGACAGTGAAAAATTGCTTCTCTTTCTGTCTGAACACACTTTTTGCCACATTTGTGCTGATGCTGGCTCCTCGACATGGAGATTTAAGGACATATTTCGAGAGTCATCAGCCAATCACTCAGATGGATAATTAGTCAACCACTCAGATGAATCATCTAAGCAGCAAATATTGTTTTTCATTGTTAATTTCTGATTCTTGGCTCCATCTTTCTGTTGATGTCGCCTCTGTCACAGCTTGTTAGCAGAGTCACATGGAGCGTTCCTTTCCTCTCCCCAACAGTCTGCTTCCCCAGCTGTTGAATTATAGATACCTTATTACCTCTGTGTAAGGGCGGCATTTTATTATGAAAAACCTTATGTGGCACACTACCAACCAGCGACAAGTCTAACACGAGTTTTTACATTTAATCTTACAGCCTCTCAGAATCTTTCTGCACATTTTTTTCTCATTTCATTCAGGACAGACTTGGCAGGGAGGCGAGCGCCAGTCTTTCTCGTGACTACAGAAAAAAAAAAGATTACAGATGGATTTTATTATCACTGCAACTCATGGCTTCATTGTCATGAGCCCTGCAGTCATGCAGCTCTTACAGATCCTCTCATAATTGTACAATTAAGTAGTTATTCACCTTTACTTGCTTTGCTTTAAAAACCTAGGCTCCACTATCCAAACTACTTTTACTTTCTTTTTCTTGGCCTCATCTCATACTTACCATAAAATATTTACAGTGTGTTTTCCCCTTGTGATAAATAATTTCCTCAAGGTCTTTATATCACCAGCTTTTCTCTTGACATAGTTTCAACACACCGTTTGTCAAAAACATCTCCTTTCCTTTACTTTGACATTCTCATTTCAGCGTACCCACCAGCCCTCTGGCACCTTTTTTGTGATTTTCTCACCTGGGTATGAAGTGCTTGCTTTCTGCCGCTCAGTGTATTTTTGAAGCTGTTTCACATGTGATTGAAGTGTGAAACAGCTGAGGAGGGTAGCTGTAGCTAAGGAGATGGAGCAGAAGATTCATGGTTCGATCCCTGGCATGTCAAGTACTGTATCCTTGGGGAAGATACTGAACCCCAGGTTGCCACCAGAGCATCCATTGGAGTGTGGATGTTAGGTTAGGATCACTTAGGCATAGTTGGGGGAGGGGAAAAAAAGAAAAGTGTGGGTGAATGAGGCTTGGAGTAAGAAAGTACTTTGAGTGCTCAAGTTGTGTAGAAAAATACTATATTAGTACAAGTGTTTTATACCACTCAGCATTTATTTTAATAAGTTCTTGATGATTTTGAATGTAACTAATCCAAATACATATAAAAAAGTAAAGGCCAGCCTTGCTATTGTTGTTTTCATATGCAAATTTGCGAACATAAGTCAGGCTGTCATGTTCTTTTCAGAGAGAAGAGGCTTTTTCCTGGCAACGCTTCCCAGAAGCCAAACATGCTGTCATGAACTTTCACATGCTATCTGAGATCTGGAGAGTCTGAGATGTAGCTCTTGGGTTTCTTCCAGTTTCTACTACATTGAGTCGCCTGATATTGGGGGGAATTTTAAACTCCTGGGAAGATTGTGGGACATCGTGGCTCAAGAGTAATTTCTTATACATGTGTGTATTAAAGCTAAGCAGTTTAACATGGGTGAGTCTGTGGGGGGCTGAATGGTCCCGCCAGCCTCAAGTGGCCATTGAGGGAACTGCAATTTATGTTGCCTCTGCTTTATCTCCATCTGCCCACCCAATTTTCAGCCATGTGGGGTACAGATCACA